TTTGGCTCTTGTCTCCCTTGTCTGTCCATCCTGCCCCATGGGTCCCTCCTGTGCTTCTGCCCAGATCATCAGGGCTGCTGCCGACAGGGACAGGGAGACGGTGCGGACGAAGTCCATAGAGATGAAGTTCCTCACTGGCTATGAGGTCAAGGTGAGCAGGGTCCCTGGGGGCCGCACAAGGCCCTGCTGGTCCAGGGTGTGCGTTGGTGGGGAGGGCGGGCTTGGACTACTTGTCCCTTTGAAACATGAAGTGGAACTCGGTATGTGACGGATGAAGCGCAGGGGACACTGCTCCTGGGTGTGTCTCCAGCACCGGGCCCGGCCCAGCCCGATGCCTCTGTGCTCTGTGACATCTTCCAAGTGGCAGGTGAGCCGGGTGCCTGGGGACTTGTGAGGCTCCCGTCTCTGCTCCGGGTCGGAGCTGTGTCGGCGCGAGCTGGAGCGCGGCAGCTGGGAGGGGGAGCCCTGGACGCCCTTGTGAGGCCTCGCTGGGAGGGTGAGGAGATGGGAGTCTCAGTGCTTTAAATAAAGGGGGACACTCTGCGTCTGTCACCCAGAAGCCACTGACCTCTGCTTGACAGTGGGGAAGGGGCTGAGATCCGCGTCCTGCTTGGGTTCAACACCTAGTCAGAGTGCCATTTTAGGCAAATTAGTGTCTTTGAGCTGCCAGAGCTTGGAGCTCAGCTGTAAAAGGATCACACTACCCCAGAAGCCCTCAGTCCCCTCACTGTCACCGTGTCACTGTGAGCTGGCCCCGGCCCCTGTCCTGACCCACCGTTCCAGGCTCAGTTACTTCTCAGGTTCCTCCGTTAGCTGCCAGTTCCCTGGGACAGACACCCAGTAGCGAGCTGTCCTGGGCACACTCTGCAGGCTCGCAGGCCGTGCACGGCAGGTGGGCCCCACCAGCTCGGCCCATGAACTCTGTTCTTTTTGGTCAGAAGAGTGTTTTGTAAACACTTTGCAACTGGCACCATCGCGCAGGGCTCATATTCCACCTTCTGCCCCAGGCCCCACGACTCCCTTCGGTCTCACATCATCCCAGCCCACACATTAATGTTGTTTTCCTGGCCCCGGGGGTTAAAGTTTATCCCTGTTACCATTTCTTAATCTGGTTAAAAACAAAACCCTCACCTGCCTGGCGCTTCCATGACCTTCTGAGCAGAGCTTTCAGTGAGCGCTCAGGACGTGGGGCCCATAGCCGTGTGGAATGCTCTTGAATCTCGTTGCCATTTACCCTTCCTGTCCTCCCCCCAGGTCATGGAAGACGCCCACCTGGATGCCATCCTCATCCTGGGGGAGGCCTTTGCCTCGGACGAGCCCTTTGACTTTGGCACCCAGAGCACCACCGAGAAGATCCACAACCTGATTCCGGTCATGCTGAAGCACCGCCTGGTCCCCCCACCCGAGGAGACCTACTCCCTGCACCGGAAGATGGGGGGCTCCTTCCTCATCTGCTCCAAGCTGAAGGCCCGCTTCTCCTGTAAAGCCATGTTCGAGGAGGCCTACAGCAAGTACCTCGAGAGGCAGGCCAGGCAACAGTAGCCGCCGGACACCCGGGCCGAAGGCAGACAGGGCGCCCAGCCTGCGGGTCGCGCCCAGGCCGGCTCAGCGGGACTCTCCGTCCTTCACACAGGCTAAAACCACTGGGGAGATGGTGTCCATGCTTCGTTTAAACCCCTTTGTGCAGTACGAAAAGGTGGCTGGTTGTGGTGGGGTCTGGGGAGAGGCTGCCAGAGCCTGTAGCCCGCGCTTTACACGGTTTTCACGGCTCAGCGCGTGGCGGTGGGGCGAGAAGTGCAGGAATGGGAACGAAACGCCACTGCTCTGTCAGAATCTGCCTGTTGTTTATTCATCCTCTGAAATAACTCTAGATAAAAAGGCAATTCTGTTTTCTTCCTTTTTCTAATATGAATGTTAAGCAGAAATGAGAGTACTTCTTAAATCTGCCACCAAAACAAAAGAAAGATTTTTGGATTTTGTCAACTGCAGTCTAAGGTTAGTGTGTATGTGTGTTTCTAGAATGAGATTTGTTTCCTGGCCTCTTGCTCTCTAGCCTGTGGTCTGAGCGAGAGCAGTGCCAACACGTGCCACTAAACCTCGTGGGGCCCGGCCTGCTCGGGCTGGTCCTTAGCTTTCCTGATAGCTGAATGTTCCCAGAGAATCGCTGCCTCACAGGGGAGGGGTCGGAGCAGCAGGCTGGGGGACCGAGACACATTCCTCATCTGCTGCTGGAAGGTTCCTCCCTGCCAGGGCCACTGCCAGAGGAGATGCACAGGTGTCACTCGTTCCACCAAAGGGTCATCACAGGCTCCAAATTTTTGTACAAGTCTTATAATTGTTTCAATTCAATAAAAAAGTGCTTATGAAAAGCACGTTAGTGATTGTGCCATTTCCTGTGCTTTATGAATTTTGGAGAATGCTGACCCATATCTTCTAGCGTCATGGTGGTTCTCTGCGGTTGGCATCACAGCCTGATGACAAGGCTCGCACCTGTCCTCAGCGTGAGGTCCTCAGTCCCTGATCGTGGAAGGCTCAGCCACATTGTTTGTGAAAGGAGAGGCGGCCAGGCAGGCAAGAGGGGATGGAGGATGGAAGGAGAAGCTGCAGTGTCACTGCCCCGGCCCTCTGCAGGCTCTACATTGGTGACACTGACTGTGGGAGGACTGTGACACCTGGCAGCAGGGCCTGCGTCACAGGGAGACCCTTCTAGATAGAGGTCAGCTGCAGGTGAAGACCATTTCCTGAAAAGTGACTCTTCCTGGGGCTAACTTGATTCCTAGATGATGGGGGCACTCTGACATTCAGGTGGGGGGCCCTTCCAGCCCCGTGAACACTCTGAAAGTGCACGTGCAAAGGCCACCGTGGTCCAAAATAGGTCCTTGTATAGGTTTTCAGGCTTCATTTTACTTTCTGAGATTTGAGATTGCTGAGCTAGGTTTGAGACAGGACGGAGGGCCCTGGGAGGTCTCCCTGAGGCCACCTGGCTTGGCTAGCAGTGGTGCCCCCAGCACCATGTTAGATCCCCTGCTAGAGCTTGCCTGGCCCTATTTTATTATTAATTTAATTTTATATTTTATTATTTTATTTTATTTTATATTTTATTTTAGAGACAGAGTCTCGCTTTGTTGCCCAGGCTAGAGTGAGTGCCATGGCGTCAGCCTAGCTCACAGCAACCTCAAACTCCTGGGCTCCAGCGATCCTCCTGCCTCAGCCTCCCGAATTGCTAGGAGTACAGGCATGCGCCACCATGCCTGGCTACTTTTTTCTATATATATTAGTTAGTCAATTAATTTCTTTCTATTTACAGTAGAAACGGGGTCTTGCTCAGGCTGATTTCGAACTCCTGACCTTGATTAATCTGCCTGCCTCGGGCTCCCGGAGTGCTAGGATCGCCTGGCCCTTTAGCAAACGCCCTGCCATGCGCAGATCTGAAGCCACACCCCTGCAGGGCAAAGAGGAGGAGAAGAACCCAGGCCAGCCCCAGCCAGGGCTCAGCCTTTTCCTCTCAAATAACCCGAACAGATGGAGCAGCTGCATGAAGGTGGAGGGAGGGGAGAAAATAAAGAACAGAGCAAGTAATTGCTTCCCCAGCAACCACTGACCACAACTGCTGGGAGAAGAGGAATTTTCTGAGGGAAACTGGAATGTGGTTTGTGCCCTAAGTGTGACAGCCAGCTGCAACCCAGAGGGCTGCACTCGACAGTGGGGATCGCTGGGGATTGTAAATGGCTGCAATCCCGGAGTAACATCAGCCCTGAAAATGGCCACAAATACTTTTTCTTTTGTACCTATTTTGACTTTCACAGTGTCACGTGATTGAATGCCTCCCTGTGCCCACTACTAGCATGGGAAGACATGGCACAAGAACATGGCAAATCACGGCCTGATTTTCCAGGGACTGTGACTTTGTATCCCTAACACCTAGTGAAGGGCTAGACATGCAGCAGCACAGAAAAAAAAGAGTATTTGTTACCGAAGGCGTTGATGGTTAATAATGTCAAGACAGTGATAGTGATAGGCCACAGCCATTATTCTAAATACCTCTGTGTATTAACGCTTCTGACACTCAGAGTAGGCATTTTTATAGAAGAGAAAACAGGCTCAGAGGTCAAGTGGTGGCACCAGGACTTGGAATAAGACAGTCGGTCTCACAGGCTACTATAGGTCTAGTCTTAGCCAAGGGCAGGCAGACTGTGGTCCACGGGCCAAATCTGGCCCATTGCACTGCTGTAAGTAAAGTTTTACTGGAACAGAGTCTAATATGTAAATGAATAAGCGCTAAGACTTTCTGCACTATACAGGCAAAGTAGCTGCAACAGATTATAACACCCACAAAGCCAAAAATATTAACTGGCCCATTACAGAAGAAGTTTGCCAAGCCCTGTTTTAAACCACTGCACAGCTGCTGCGTCTAATCCAGCATATATTTTAACAAACCAACGTATCCATAACAGTAGAAATGTCAATTATATGGGAACAGGGAGGGTTCTCAGAATTATTACTTAACTGCAGCCACAGTTGAGGATTTCCTTTGTTAAGACCACTCCTGACCTTACCTGTGTTCTCAGATGTACCATTCTAACTTAGCAAAAGCAGTACCAGTAACTCTTGTTTAAGTGGCTACTGATTTTCTCCAACAAGCAGACATAAAATCAAACTCCCACATTTACACTGTCAGGCCCACTCAGGACACCTCATGCAGGCACAGCGTGGGCTTGCAGACCAAAGTAATAGTAATCAGGACGTTTTGACCAGAAGAGGGGAGTTGGAAGCTTCAAGAGAATTTAACATTATTCTTACCTGAGCTAAGGAAGAAACTATGAAAGCCCCAGATTAAGCCACAAGTGACAAAACTAACCCCATGTCCTTCAGCAGTGGGAGGAGGAAGCCAGGATGAGGAGGGAAACCGGCAGAAAGCAAGACCGAGACGCAGAGAGTTGGGCACCTTTTCTGCATTCCTCAAACTTCTTAAATGGGAGGAAAAAAGACAAAATACTCAGTTCTAACAGCTCCCTGTTTTATTGCAATACATCAAAGTCTGGTTAATATTAAGTGATATCAACATAAAATATTGGTGAGGAGTCTTGTTACATTTTTTACTATCCCACCTTAAATATTTCTGTGCAAAAGGATCCACATAATTGTTTGGTAGCAGAGAATCTCTTATAAAGTTCCCTAAGACACTGAGGGCATAAAAACCAAACAAAATAAAATAAGGAGTGATAAGAGGCCAAAGCAATGTCTTTTCCCCTCCATACACACATAGTTGTCAGCATTGTATTCTAAACAAAAAATGATTACACCTAGGCCATGCAAAACTGTACAATAATATTACAATGAGGAAAACCCTTAAAAATTTATAAAATAAATGATATTACACTATCAAATAAAAAGGCAGGTCATTTTGTTTTCATGAGATTTCAAGGTTGATGTGAGTCAGTTTCCCCCCTAACTGCAAGGGTGTCCTGTGGGGAACGGTGTCCCTGGGAAGGAGGGGATGCCGGCTGCTGCCAGCACCGCTGGGACCATGCTGCGTCAGGAGCAAGGCTCTCCCCATCTAGCAGGAGTCCGCAGAGAACTCTGGACTTGAGTAGTAAGTGAAGTCGTAACAAGGAAAGAGGTTTTAAATGGGCTCAATGAAATGCCATGCAGCTTATGTGAATCAGGGCCGGGCGGGGGGAGCGAGGAGCACAGCTAATCCCTTGCTCAGCAGTCTTGGGCTGTGGCGACGTCGACCCGCGGCAGGAGCGGCAGGCTGCCGAGTGCCCCGTGTCCAGAGTGGACGGTGAGCCACGCACTTGGCAAGCCAAGCCCCACTCGGCTGGGAGACGACGGTGTTGGTGACCCTGCCAGGGCTGGCAAATGGCCCTGCTGCATCTGGCAGGTTAGGGTGTCCGCCCACCCCTGCTCTGACTTTTCCTTAACGATACCTGAGATTCCACATAAATGCAACTGGTCTTTCTCAGAAATAGATGTGACCACTAAGTAACAAAATTATATTACTCTAACCATATGGAAGAGGAGGCTGACAGCCAGCTGGAAACGACAGATTGTTGTAAACATGACAGGAATTTCAGATTCTCCCCTGAAGCTTGAGTATAAGAACTGGTTGGAAAACAAATAGATGGGCCATTTTTAGTTCTCTCTCATAGTCTTAAACCTGTGCTCCCGTGGGAAAGAACATAAATCACTAAGTGTACGGGTATGTGTGCATAAATATATGTATATTTAATAACTAAAGAATGACATCTGCTTTAGCAATCACTTGACAAGGGGGAAGGGTGTTTTTGGCAAAAAGAAATATATATATATGTACGTAATTTTATAGACCCAAAACACATGACAAAATTAGTCAGAATTCAAGGGTAGATAACAAATTGGCTGGACATAGATAGCACCAAATACCAACACATACACTATCCCAGAAATGCCTCCAAATGTATTTTTTCTTTCTACTGAGAAATTAGTTTCTGCTGCCATATGCATTTTAAAAATGTTCTGCATGAAAACAAAGGATGACTGCAGACAGCAATGAAGATATCTTTTCTGTGAACCCATTCCCCATCTTTTTAAATCATTCCTCTCAGAAGGTTCTGAGAGTAACAGGCTTCATATTAAAGCATGGGACAAGACCAGTAGGATGATCATCTTGGAAAAATCCTCCCCCAAACTAATACCCCAGCAGCGTTTCTCTCCCGCAGTCCTAAACACACTTGGGACTGCGCTATCGTGACTGATGAGACTACTTACGGTTGCAGGGAAAATCAAAGTGCCGTGGTGCAATCCATGGGGTGAATGTGAACAAGGTGCCCAGTTAACCTGGCAGCCAAGACAAGCCTCAGCGGCTTTCGCTCATCTGCTTGTCGGGGGGTGGACAGTCTGACTCACTGTTGTGGAGCCCAGACTTTAGGTAGGGTGATATTTTGATCCTAAAAGCATCCTTTGAAAAATAAGCACCTATAGACAAAAATCCACAATTTACAAACTAATGGCTTGGTGTAGAGTCTCAGCTTGGGTCTGTCTCCTCTCTTAAGAGAAGGGAGAGAGGAGAGGGGAAGAGGAGAGGACAGAAAAGGACAGGAGGGTGAGATGGGTGACGGCGGCTGGTTACAAGCACCCAGCGGCTGGCTGGAGAGAGGGTTCCCTCCCCTCCTCCCAGTGCCAACTTTAGGGAGTGATCAGAGTCAGATGGCAACAACCCAACCTGAGGTCCAACCCTTGAAACTGTGATGTACAAAAGTATTTTTACACTTCTTTTCAAAAAGCAAAAAGATTTGGGAAATTAGAACTGTGCAGCAAATTATGCCCATTCAAAATAAAATATAATCAAATCTGAGCTAGCACCAAATCCAGAAAGTTGAAGTGTCAAAGCTTTTATTTTCTTAATCCCCTATTCTAAGTGTCTGCAATATAACCCCCACCAGGCCCCTCTGCTCCCTCCCTGAGTCTCAGCAATCCCACTGAGGCCCGGTGCCCCGCGCAGGGGGCTGGCGCGCATGGAAAGGCGGCAAGGAGGGAAATGACGGGGTCTGAACACACAACCCAGATTCGTAACTGCAGGAAACCTCTTTCATTTCTGCTCAATATTAAAGAAAATAAGAGAAAATCCTGTTTCTATTTCTCAGAGAAACTTAGACGAAAAGTAAAAGAGAAGCAGAAACTCTTCACTTACATGAGATATTTTTATATCTTTCTCATATGCTTAACTGCCAAAATGACTCTGCTGAAATAAATTCTGGTTCTGCATCTCATTTCCTTGTGGCAACTAAAACAGCAGGACTCCGAGCGGACATGGAACTGGCGGCAGGTGCAGCGGTGGAGGGAGGACGCGTCCGCGCGGGCTCACGTCCTGCCCCTGCAAGCGGGTGAATCACAGCCAGTTTCCACTGGGTACGTGAAAGAACATTTGGTTAAGGCTGCTTGAGTCCTTGCTTTTGAGGTTTTCTATTATTTGGTGATAAGAACCTTTCCACCTCGGCTTATCTGAGGAAGCTCACGCCCACCCTCAACAAAACAGACTCCCCCCGGGAAGCCGCCTCCAGTCTCCAGCCTCCAGCCTCCAGCCTCCAGCCTCCAGCCTCCAGCCCAGGAGGGACATCTTACTGCGACTTGGGGAGGAAGAGGCCTCGCCCAGGAACAAAAGCACTTTGACAAAACACACATGGACCTTCAGAAGCCATGACACTCCCTGTGCTCTTTCAACTGGAAGGGATCAGAGGGGACAGAATTGTATTTTTACATTCATCAGCAGAAGATATCAAAACAAAAAATGAGAAGTGTGGTTCCCATTCTACCACTAATAAAGGAAACAGCTTGGGTAGAGGTGAGTTTGCCCTTTCATGCTGCTGCTGAAGCGGCTTCAGATGTTAAAACTCCGCTACCAGGTCACAGTGCAAACCAAAGCTCCCCGGTGACTGCAGCCTGAGGACAGGCACTAAAGGGAACTCCGTTTCCTCCGCGCTCTACAAATGTCAGCTTGAGGCCTGCCTACCCTTTACGTTACTTACTTAGCTGGGAAACAGACAAGAAACAACACATTTCTTTAAATTAAATCATCTCTTTCTCTTATATATGCATCATCTTTCACTGAATACAAGATGCTTCTTTTGACTATATACATTCAGTATTTAACTTCTACATTTATGTATTCATTTAAACTCTGTATGTAGTAAAATATGCATTGCTTTAATGCGAATGGATCTGCTGGCAACAGTCGGGTGGAGGCTCACTGCGGTTGCTGAATGAGCTCAGGGTGCCGCGCAGGGTCGGACTCTCCCCTTCGGACAGAGAATCCCATGAGCTATTTTGGGACTATAATAAGACTCTACTGTGAAAACAAAATCTGTCTAGTCTTAGTCTTATCATTTACATTTGTGTAATCTGCCTATTTAAGCTACCTTTGGAGAAGGAGTAAAATAGTATTGAAAGCAACTCTAAGAGTATGGAATGAAATCAGTATTAATCTAAGCTGCTTAATCAAAGTCTGCCTTTGCTGTTGCTCAGGCCGAGGGGGCGTGGATCTGTGAGTCGTGTAGTCAGGACTCCCGACTCCCTGCCCTGCTACTGCTGCCAGCCCTGGTGTGTTCAGGCTGAGTGGGGGAAGGGATGAAAGTGAGGGAGAGGCGGTGGAAGGGAGCTGGGGACCAGAGCCGCCACACAGCTCACGGGTCCCAGCTCCCGCGGTCGGTGCTCTCCAGAGAGAGGCTCTTGGTCTTTCGGGGTGAGACTGGGCTTGGGGGGCTGCTCAGGTTGGAACTGTTGGAAGCTGTGGAATGCCTCGGAGAATCAGAGTCCTGTAAGGCCCAAAGTAAAATGTAATGAGAAGCAGAGGGAGAGAGGAAGGCAGGAGGGCTCGGGTTACCACCCCTCTAGCCACCCTCATCAAAGGACCTTAAGAGGCTTCAAGCTGCCCCTGCTGTGGCGGAGGCCAACCCCCAGGTGGTGGCGTTACTTGGGTGAATGCCCTAAAGTCTCCAAAACCCTGCCTCTAGGCATAGCTGCGCACCTCTCCGTCATAGTCCCTCGCCGGGGCATCGCTTCCTTGGTCCATGCCTCCGGAAGACAGGGAGCCCTCCGATGGGGACGGCATGGGCTGCCGGTTTGCGTTGTAGCTTCCTCCAGAGAATTCCCTCTTTAATGCGCTGCCATTCTGTGCAGATGACCCTACAGCACATCAAGCAGGCAAAATTTTATGTATGCGGAAGAGGACGATCCTTTAGAAAGCGTGCAGACTGCCAAGCTGAGCAGCCATCCTTCCCAGGCCCCAAGTCATCCTCCTCTGATGGACAGGAAGTCCAACTGCTGTGCCTTGGCCCTTGGTCTCCAACTCCTGTCCTCAAATGATCCTCCCGCCTCGGCCTCCCAAAGTGCTGGGATTACAGGCATGAGCCACCACGCCCAGCCTTTAGTCACAGTTGAATCTTGAGGGGCCTATAGCCCCAGCAGACAGCTTGATTGCAACCTCATGAGAAACCCTGAGCAGGAATCATTCAGCCTAAGGTGCTTTCAGATTCCTGACCCTAAGACACTATGTGAGATAATAAATGTTTGCTATTTTAAGCTTCTAAGTGGGAGAACTCCTCATGCAGCAAGAGACAAGAGATACTAATGCAGCATCATTCATCTTTATATTGCTAGAGCCTAAAAACAATACCTGGGCTGTTTGCTGAATGAACAACAACAAATGAATGAAGGAAACTCAGTCTGCATCAGGAAACTTGAATTCAAATATCTAACATTCAAGAATACAGGGCAACAAATAAGTTTTCTGACTGAATTGATTTTTTTTAAAAAATATTTTTAGAGACAGGACCTCACTCTGTTGCCTGGGCTGGAGTGCGGTGGCTCAATCATAGCTCACTATGACCTTGAACGCCTGGGCTCAGGCAATCCTCTCACCTCAGCTTTCCTAGTGGCTGGAACTACAAGCATGTGCTACCAGGCCTGGCTACTTTTTTAAATATTTTGTAGGGACAGGGTCTTGCTATGTTGCCAGGCTAGTCTGGAACTCCTGGTCTTAAGTGATCTTCCCACATTCACCTCCCAAAGTGTTGGGATTACAGGCATGAGCCACTGTATCTGGCTAAAATGACTTTTTAAATGTGAAATTGGATTTAGTGCAATTACTTTCTATTGGAGTTTACTTGTATAGAAGTGAAGAAAGGTTTCATTAAAGTTGCATCTGATGCATTTTGGGACTGCATTTATGTTAGCACACTCAAGCTATACGTTCTTTGATCTCTAAGCCAATGCTGTGCTACTGGGAAAGCGTACATTTGAGAAAGTTACAGAAAAACAACCCTTTGGCCAAGAACAATTTTCCCAAAATCAAAAGCTACAATGATCATGTGACAATCGATAACCTCATTGCTAATAATCCAGGAACTATAAAAGATCACAGTGAATTTGTTGAAACTAAATTTCTTTAATCAGCCAGATGTTCCACCTGCACATCCCTCTAACCCTGAGGCCTGCAGCTTTGAGCATCTTTGCATACTTTTACTGAGGTGGACAGTATCTTCCCTTCTCTTCCTCCCCCACCAAAAAGTTGCTCCCTGGGCAGTAGCTGAACATTAGTCCACCACAGAGCACAGCTTTTTTCTCTTTAGAGTCCTGTTCAAAAGGGTTCTGTTCAAAACATAAAAAAGAGATGCTGCAGTTCAGGGTAGAGTAAAAAAAAGGCTAATAATAAAGACTGTGAGCCACATTAAAACAGGCCTAGGCCATTATGATTCTACCTCCAGTAATTTAGAAGAAAAGTTTGTATCTAATGGAGCCTTAAACATGTGTACCCGATGAATGATACATGTTATCTCACTTTTGTGGTAAACGGGTACATTCCTGATTCTGTCCCTGGCCTTCTTTTCCCTAATCAAACATGCTACTTTTTTTCCTGACTTGGGACCTCTGCACATGCCTGGAATGTCCCACCCCAGGCCCCTCTCCAACGGGGTTACTGGGAGTAAACGGCATCACCCAAAGGCTCTAGCACAAACCTAGGAGTCATCTTTATACTCTTCCCTGCGCCTTACTTCCCCACAACTAGCGCACCGAGTCTTCTTGTTCCTACCTCGGAAAACGTATCTGAAGAATCTACCTCCTCTCTCCCTTCTTTTCCCCTTTGCACTGCTGCATCCTGAGCCCTCGCCACCTCCGCCTGGACCATGCAGAACCCATCCAGGTGCTGGCTTCCACCCTCGCCCCTCCAACCACTCTCCCACCGACAGCCGGAGTGATCATTTTAAGAATGCAAAGGGAATAAAGATTCTTCCCTACTTAACGCTTTTCAAAGGCTTCCCTTTGCATTTTGAATAAAATAAAAATGTCTTCCCTTGGTCTTCAAGTCCCGGCTGATCTGACCCTTCTCTACCTCTCCCGCTCTGCTTCTTGTCACTCCCTACCACCACGTAGCCGTAGCCGCACTGGTCCTCTTCCAGTTACTCAAACATAAACACATCTCACCGGTAGAAAAGGATGTGATTTTCCTAATTATTCTAAGTAGGAATTCATCCTCCATGGCTACCCCTTGTTATTCTCTACTATCACACCCTGTTTATTTCCTTCGGAGCATTTATCGTCACAATTTATAATCAAATTTGTCTTGTGTATATCCCAGATGGCCTATAAGCTCTAGAAGGCCCACCAGGTACTACAACACTGTTGCCACTTGAGAATGGCTGAGCATGCCTGAGTGAAGAACATGTCACTCATGGGACTGGCAGAGAGGCGGCTGGGGGCAGCGCTGTCAGGGCAGCCCCTTCCTGCAGCCCCGGCCACTTACTTGCGGACAGGCCACTGCTAGCGCTCATGGAGCGGCCTGGCTCGGGGCGGGATTTGCTAATAGACGGAATACTGACTGAGCCGCTGAACACTGTCCGGCTTTCCTGAGGTCGAGGATTCTAGAAACAAAAGTGAAAGAGATATTCTTCAGCTAGGAAGAAACTGATTTTCTGCAGACATATCTATTTTTCACTATGATTATGAAGAAAAAACAATTATCTGACCAGAATGACACAGAGGAACAGGTTATATAATTTCTTCCCACCCACAAAAGTAAAACCTTAACATGAAGTAAATCTCACCATAAATCAAGATATGTGCTTATACTTATTGAAATATTTATCAATAAGTGGATTTTTTTGGTTGTGAAAACACTAAGTAAAAGTTACATGGTTAGATGTGACAGCGAAGTACAGAATTACATGGACATTTGTGGAAAACTGAAATAAAGCTTTTTACTATGTATGATATTTTTATTTGCTTAGGATAACAGCTGAATCAGTCTATTTAGAGGAAATCTAATTAAAATTACATTCTCAAGAAAATGTTTTAGCGATGTGATACTGCATGTGCCAGTCACATACTCACGCCATCAGCCACCAGGCAGAATCTTTATTGACACGCACAGTAGAACGATGAGTCAGAAATATGACACTGCAACACTCATAGCCGGGATGAGGCGAGTTACCTTGGGGATATTACTTTGAAAAGTTTCCATCTGATTACTGAGTGATTTTGGTGGAAAATGGGCCACAGAAGGTTTGCAAATCACACACACTTAGAGGAGAGCCCTGGAGGTGGCATGCAGGGAACGGACAGCGCACAGCCTCCCTGGTGGCTGCGAGCTTTTCAGACCAGAAGGGGGATTTCGGGTCTGACAAAAGTCCAGAGGAGGGAAAAATATTTTAGTATTCTTTATAAATCCTTGAATAGGCAAACTACATATGCTATAGTATTAACATCTTTTTTACCATCTACAATGCTTTCTCTATTTGTTGACATAGTTCCAGCCTCATGTAAGTGTTTGCTGTTGCAAATGGTCTAGATTTGATCTCTCATCATTTATAAAGAGATTTATATATATTTGGAAAATTTATCTACTCCTTAATTTTTCTTTCATAGCCACAAAAATGGCGGTAATTTTACTAGTCTACAGTGCCTATTTCCAGGAAGCCACCCCTCTCCTTCATTAGCTGCTCACAAGAGGAGGTGACATGAAGGCAGCACGTTGGCTGATGAGCACAGCCAAGCCAGGAAAGAGACCCCCACTTGCATCTGGGCTGCACAGCTTGTTGACAGCAGGCCTGGGGCTTGTGACACTTCATTTCCTCAGCTCTATTATGGGGATAACAACTGCCCTGTGGGGCTTTTCTGAGGATTGAAGTAACCATACTAGTAAAAAGAAAGCACTTAGCCCTGTCCCACTAAGAGTCTTCACACCCCCATGATGACCATATACAGTCATCTGCAATGTCACTTTCAACCTTCCCTCCAGTCACATCAAAATGTTAATCTGCTGGGGAGAAAAATCACGGATTTTACATGTGTTAAACAAGACCATAACTCCATTAAAAAGTGCAATAAACAATCACACATTAAAAGTTGTCAAAAATTCAAGTTTTGTGACTTTCTCAGAGGATTGATTTGTTAAGTAAAGCCAATTAATAAATCTGAGTGTGAGTACAATGTGCAAGTTTCCTTTGAAAACAGATGTGCTCGTCGTATAATGCTACAGGCTCGTATAATGCTACAGGCTAACTTTACTACAGGGTATTCCTCTACCTTTTCTATATTGCCAGACAATCACAGATACTCATGGCCACTAACACACAACAAAAGTGACTGGAAAATATATTTATCAACCCGTTGTTCTGTAAGTACTAATTCATTAAAATTGTTTGCTTTTTTTCTGAAAGGTAATACTCATGAACTATAGAAATATATAAATAATAATGAAATCATAAAAGAGACCAAAAAAAGGTCACTTGTGAATTCACCAGATACTACTAATAATTTGATATGTTCCCTGTCCATCTTTTCTTCTAATATAATTTTTTTAAAAGAGTTAACCATACCGTGTCATGCTTTTTTCAAACTCAACAGAATAGCAAGCTATGGACTAAGAATAAAATCCTAAACATCTCTGCTAACTGAATGGACTCCTCTTGGCCAAGTGACCCCAGAAACACCACGAAACTGAGTTCTCAGCCATGATAGGATGGGAGAAATAAAGCACAATTACAAATGCACATTATTTCCCTTTTTCATAAATATTCATGACTCCCATAGCTTGTTGAGTATGTGCACTTGGCCACCCCAGTCAGTATAAAATCTTATTGCTTTTGTCTGTCCTTCTGAAGCACAAGTACCTGGTTTCTGGCTGGGGCTCTGCTGTCCAGCCCGTTGGAATGTCTGCCCAACAGGCTGCCACCCTCTATGAGAAACAAAGCTCTCCTTTTCCCAAAGTATGAGCCTTGTTAATTGTTTCAGTTAACAAAGCTAAGTAGTGTATTTTAAAACATTACAATCGTATGCCTCATTTTACTGATTCAAAAGCACTAAATCTTTTTTAATCACTTGGGGCTCAGGTAATATTAGTCTTTTTTTCTGGTAGCTTAATCAGAGGTAGAGGATACATCAGAGAAATTTACTCATATACCTGTCATACATTGATAATTAAACTGTGGTAACTGAAATCTACCTTACCCGAATGGCTTTACAAGTTTCGGCACAAGAAAAGGCCTAAATGCTTAAACTGCATTTTATATATTTCACTAAATGTCCTTGTACCTGCCCTTTAAACACAGAAAGCCAGGGGAGTGCTGTTGGCATACATGCCCTCCTCTTGGGGCCCTCAGCTTGTTTGGGGTGACAGATCAGTTTGATCTGGTTATTTAGTTTAATCTGGTTATTTAGTTTAAGCACATAGCTCATGGCTGTTTTTAGACTCATTTCTTTAATCATATTATCATTTCTTATACTTACTGCTATTATGACATTAAACTCCAACACCTAAAGCAGGTGCTGAAAAGTATTTGCTGAATAAATGAATGGATTATATCTATAATTCTAATTTTCTATTCAAGTATTGAGATTAATTCAGTTGGCAAAGTAATTCATGAATTTCAAATTATAATCCTTTCAGTATAACACAGTGCTCTAGTTAATATTGGTTTGATGTTACGTGTGTGTGTTTTAAACACACAAAGTACATTTTACTTACATTGTTTAGGCAGAATAACATTTTTGGGAATCAATGAATAAAATGGTAGCAATTCTTCAAATGATATGTATGCTAACACTTAATAAAAGATGACTGTCTTCTTTGCTATAATATGGTATAGATCAAATAATTTAACATGGAATACCATGAAATGAGCACAAATACTTAAGGCTTTTGAGGTTAAAAGAAACAATAAAGAAATGCACTATTTTATTTAGTCAGTATTTTCATGAATGAATATTGGAATTTCATAAAATATCTCATCTAGCAAAACAATTGTATGTTTTCCTTTTGGTTAGCAACATGACAAAATTCTATTAAAGGAGTATGCAATGGTAAAAAAAAAGAAATGTACTAATGTGGCTAAAAATATTTTTAGTTATAATAAAAGTTTAGAACTGGAACTTCAGTTCCAAGTTGTCATGAAATTGTTAGACTCCAAGGAGAAGTTACAGTCTGAGTAAGTTTGTAGTACTGAGCTTTCTATATGCATCTGAAACACCTGAGAGAATGTTATGGCAAAGCAACTAATGAAGGCCCAAATCTAGCAATCAGGAAAATAAGCAATAATGCCATTCTGAAAAATCCAAATCATACACCTTGAGTATGATTCATATGAAAGTTGGCTGGTTAGCTGGGCCCAAATTCAACCACTGCCATTTTGGTTCATTTACCAAATTTGCAAAGTCCATGTAATTCTTAGTGTGTTATTTGTTTAAAGCAAATGCTTTACCTTTTTTCTCTAAACAAATAAAAAAATTAAAACTGAAACAGTCAATGCTAGCAATTCAACATTCACGTATACAGGAACAATCCTATACGACACAAGAAACATGTGGACAATACAGCAAAGAAAAGCTCAAAAGAGATGGGAATATCAGTTTCAACCTGTATATTTTACTGTCTTTTCTATAAAGCTTAAGACACATTGGTGGTGTCCTTTTCTATAAATCAAACCTATTCTAGAATAAATAGCAAAAATTAAGCTTATAAAATATACCAGGAATTTGGTAACACTGAATGTTGAAGTATTAAAGGAATGATACATACAAAAAAATGTTTTGTAAAAAAAAATCAGTTTATCATGCAGTCAGCTAAAGTTAAATAAACTTCATTATAAAGTGACAAGAAACCTAAGCCTCTGGTCCTTGCTAGGTACAAATATGCTTAAGATTAGGATAAAACTTCCATTGATGGTACAGTGTTTCTACTGACAGATGACTAATTTCAGTAACACTTTCATCACCTTTTATATGAAAAGTTCCTAATTAACTTACACATTCATCTAAAATTCACTCCTGTAATCTGTTACCAACCAAACTATGGCTTATTTTATCATGGTTAATTTTATTGTGTCAAATAAGACATTTAAATGATATAATAATTTAACGTTAATGACAATGACGTTTAAAACATAATTTAGAATAATTTTACATCACAAAAAATATACTTCCCACCCTACAGCTAATTTTCTAATTGGAAAATTACTATATATACAAATAAAAAAATTAATGGTACTATTGTTCTAAGCCAGGGGGCATTATAGGAAATGAATTTGTAAGATACAATCCAAATTATTTTACTATCTGCAAAACTAACTTTAGAAAATGTTCCCTTGGGCCGGGCGCAGTGGTTCACGCCTGTAATCCTAGCACTCTGGGAGGCCAAGGCAGGAAGATTGTTCACGGTCAGGAGTTCGAAACCAGCCTGAGGAAGAGTAAGACCTTGTTTCTACTAAAAATAGGAAGAAATTAGCTTGAAAACTAAAAATATATACAAAAAATTAGCTGGGCATGGTGGCACATGCCTGTAGTCCCAGCTTCAGTAGGCTGAGGCAGGAGGATTGCTTGAGCCCAGGAGTTTGAGGTTGCTGTGGGCTAGGCTGATGCTGCCATGGCACTCTAGCCCAGGCAACAGAGCGAGACTCTGTCTCAAAAAAACCAAAAAAACAACAAAAAATAAAACTGTTCCCTTGAAGTTAGTATAAGCATACACCACTTAATGGACATACATGGACATACAGCTCTTCATCCCACTGCAAAGCCACTGGTAGCTGAATGGAGGGGACCGACAGCAGATGCCATGGTCCTTCAGAATGCAGCATGCTTTTTTCCCCTCTCTAGATTTAGTTTATCTTAGATAATGGTTGGAAATGGTTGCAATTAAATACATATCATCATCTCAAAGATGAGTAAATCTAACTTATTTTTGGAATTTTTTCCTGTTACTCATTGCTAGTATTCTTTTTTATTTTTGAGAAAAAGTCTCACTCTGCTGCCTGGGCTAGAGTGCCATGGCGTCAGCCTAGCTCACAGCAACCTCAAACTCCTAGGCTCAGGCAATCTTTCTGCCTCAGCCTCCCGAGTAGTTGGGACTACAGGCATGCGCCACCATGCCTGATTAATTTTTTCTATATATTTTTAGTTGTCCAGCTAATTTCTTTCTATTTTGAGTAGAGATGGGGGTCTCGTTCTTGCTCAGGCTGGTTTCAAACTCCTGACCTTGACTGATCTACCTGCCTCAGCCTCCTAGAGTGCTAGGATTACAGGTGTGAGACATCACACCTGGGCTCTATTCATTTTTCTTACTTTTTACTTTGGAGGGTTTTATTTTGTCTTTTTTTTTTTTGAGACAGGGTTTTGCTCTGTTGCTTGGGCTGGGGTGCAATGCCTTAGCTCACTGCCACGGCAAACTCCTGGGCTCAAGTGGTCCTCCTGCCTTGGCCTCTCAAGTAGTTTGGACTATAAGCGTATACCACCATGCCTGGCTAATTTTTCTATTTTTTTTTGTAGAGATGAGGTCTTGGTCTTGCTCAGGTTGGTCTCACACTCCTGAACTCAAGCAATCCTCCTGCCTCAGCTTTCCAGAGTGCTAGGATTACAGGCATGAACCACTGTGCCTGGCCTACTTTAGAGATTTTTAAGCTTTTCAAAAAGGTGCTTATTGTAGATAGAAGGTCTGTGGATAGGCTCTAACATAGCCTTTAACTTCACCAAATACAAAAATTTTCTCTAGCCGGGCGCGGTGGCTCACGCCTGTAATCCTAGCTCTCTGGGAGGCTGAGGCGGGTGGATTGCTCGAGGTCGGGAGTTCGAAACCAGCCTGAGCAAGAGCGAGACCCCGTCTCTACTATAAATAGAAAGAAACTAATTGGCCAACTAATATATATAAAAAAATTAGCCGGGCATGGTGGCTCATGCCTGTAGTCCCAGCTACTTGGGAGGCTGAGACAGAAGGATTGCTTGAGCCCAGGAGTTTGAGGTTGCTGTGAGCTAGGCTGACGCCATGGCACTCACTCTAGCCTAGGCAACAAAGCGAGACTATGTCTCAAAAAAAAAAAAAAAAAAAAATTTTCTCTCAATGAAACTGGTTATAGAATAATGAACTATAAAAAATTTCAGAAATTCCGGGAACCCTTTTCCATTTAACAGAATAAAGATCCATATGGGGGCTGTTTCTCATGATGGTATCTGAAATGGAAAATCTTTTATTTTACATAGATTAACTTCTAATAGCATTTCAAAAATAAAAATTGAAATCCTATTCTTCCAACTTTTTCTTCAAAAGAAGAAACAAAATAGAAATGGAATCGGAAGAAGAGGAGAAAGAGTAGGAATAGAAGCTTGGCAGAAGAGATACAGGTCAAAGGAAACCATTCACAAGATGGTATCCTCTAGCACGGTTACTTGTTAAGCCAGGCAACAGGAAATCTGTACATGGTTAGTAAAAGTTAACACCTGACTCAGCTGTTCATACCCTCAGAGTCATAAAGCTTGGTGTACCAGGGACAGAGCGGAGAGACGGGGAATATTCAGGGTTTACGGAATCAGGAGAGAGAAATTTTTCAGCAGAATTAACAGTCATGTGATAGATGTGCTCAAAGTTGATCGGAGAGGAGATCAGACCGGAGTGATGATGAGGGGATGTATAAGGGAAACCTGGCTATTAAAACAACAAAAAGAAGAAAAAAGGTAATAAGGTGATGAAAATGGATTCACATTTCAGACAACATGTACATCGAACAAATGAAGTAGCATCTTACATCAGAACTGAATTGTTAATGAAATACTTTTAGGCCTCAGAAAGTTAAATTTTGTAATACTCTTGCCAATTACTTAAATAGCTGATTTGCAAAAAGATTCTCCTTATAAAATTATTCTTTTATTATTATAGTTAGGTGAGTAGAAACTGGACTTTCAGAGATGCAAGACTTCCAGAGTTATTTCTTATGTCTTAGTTCTTATTTTCTTATGTGATACAATCAAAACATGGCAAAATCTACCAGAAACATTAAGGATATAAAAGGCAAAAAACAAGCAAGAAAAGGACAAGTGAACCTACAATAGCTTCTAACTAGACATGTTATGAAACTGTTTCTTTAGAAATCTAAAACCATTTAAAATAATTCCCTGGTATTTATGTACTTATATGTTTGCTTTTATTGATCTTATTTCCCTATAACAAAAAGAGTAATTATGAAATATGCTAATTATTGGTTTACCTTTAAGTAGCTCAAACTTATCTCCATTTAGACACCTAAAAGAAAACATTTGTTTTTAACAAGGGAAAAATTTTCTCTTTAATGTTGAGGTGTATTTTTAAAATATGAAATCATATAATACCAAAGATACAGAAAAAAGTTTTTGAAGTCAAAAACTCTAATTTTTTCAGATAAAATAATTTACTTCTGAATATGTGGAAACCATCATTCAGTTGCCAGTGACCATCTCTAATTCTAATGGGAATTTTCAAGGTTCAGTTCTTTTTTTTTAAGGGGACAGAGGTCTGTCTCACTCTACTGCTGAGGCTAGAGTGTGGTAGTGTGATCGTGGATCATGACAGCTTGTGTTCAAGAAATTCTCCTGCCTCAGCCTCCCATGTAGTAAGACTATGGGTGTGCACCACCATGCCTGGTTGATTTTTTTCTATTTTGTGTAGAGACAGGTCTTGTTCTCATTCAGGCTGGTCTTGAACTCCTGGCCTCAAGCAATCCTCCTGCCTCAGCTTCCTGAGTAGCTGGCATTACAGGCTCGAGTCACTGAGCTCAAGGTTCAGTTCTTGAAAAACAATTGTTTCCAGAAAACATAATCTCTTCATTAAAGGCAGAGGTTGAATGATTTGCTAGAGAGAACACTGCCTGAATCCAGCAAGACTTATATTCCCTTGAGTTGAGATCAGTTAGCTTTGTAGAAAGACCACATAAATTATGTAGGCTTAAAAGAAAGGCTTCTTCTAGCACCTAAGTGGACACATAGGTACTACAGTAATAGGGTATTGGGCAGGTGGGAGGGGGGAGGGGGGAGGGGGGTGGGTATATACATACATAATGAGTGAGATGTGCACCATCTGGGGGATGGTCATGATGGAGACTCAGACTTTTGGGGGGAGGGGGGAAATGGGCATTTATTGAAACCTTAAAATCTGTACCCCCATAATATGCCAAAATAAAAAAAAAAAAAAAAGAAAGGCTTCTATATATGATATTGTTTTTATCCAAGAGATATGAGTTAAATCAGAACTTTCTAAAGTTGTTTCTAAAAAGAAAAAAAAAACTATTAATGTACATATATTAATAACTTTGACTTTAAGAAGCAAAATTACTTCTTCAAGCCCCAAGAGGTCACTGCACTAAAAATTTTATCTTTATTAACAATTTTAGGAATGGATAAAAAGCTAGGGGAAATATAATGTGGTAAAAATAAATCTTCTAGAGGTAAAATATTATTCTTGCATTCTGCTAGAGAAAATCTATTTTTTTTATTACCAGCAACCACTTGTAAACAAGGTAAATGATAAAAAAGAGTCAAGAAAATGAACACAGTATATATTTCTAAGAGACAGACACCATCTTATATTAATTGCTTATTTATCTTGGCTCACTAAGATACAAATAAAAAAATCTGCATCTGACACAAGAGATAAGAAAATAAAATGATGCCCTTAGCCTTACTGCCCCTTTCATATTCAAAGAGCTAACAATCCTATTTCAGGATCATTTGATACAAAAGAAACAATTAACCTTCTAAAGATATCTAATAAACTTTCTAAGCTTATAAGTATTTCATAGGAAGGAAAGCAATACTGATTTGAATAAAATAAAACACAAAAATATCTGGGGCACATGCTCTATGCACAAATGATAACATGTGGCTTTGATATTTGAAAACTCTTATATATGTTAACATTAGAAAACTTTAATTCATCTTTATTTTTTGGAAATAGTTCATAATGGTTCCATCCCAATAGAAACATTAAAATCTGAGAAAATATTAAAATATCACAAGCTTTTCAATGACTACACACATACACAGGTACAGACATGCATACTATAGTTATTTTCATACATGCATATTATTGTATTGTCAATCAGAGTCTACCCCGAGATAAACATAGTTCTGGGCACATAGTAAGTGCTCCAGAAATATTTGTTAGGTCATTAAATGCATGTCTGTAAAAAAGCCACAGCTTATACATCCTTTTTTAGTGAAATGAAAAGTTATGTGAACATAAAATTTGGCTGTGAACAGGAATTAAGACACACAGGCTGTGAACAGGAATTAAGAATCTTTGGTGCATACTACATGTACAGGTAAAGAAACAGGTTTCAAACATTTACACCAACTTCTTGTCCTGAAGATACAAAAGCACTCACCTTGATGAGAAAACATTAAAGGAATGGCAGGCACATTAAAAACCAGATTGAACTGCTAGGGCAAAGTCACTTGTACTAATGCCAAAAAGAACCAACAAGATGGTCATGGGTAAACAAAATCAGGTGACAACAAATGCAAAAAGTCAGAGGCCTAAGGTCATGTGTTATGGAGTCAGTTGGAGAATCTTTGGGAAATGCTATCTGAACTTATTTTGCTTAGTAATAAAGACTAGACCTTGTTTTGAACAAAAAATAAAATAGAGATTTTTTTTTTTTACTTTAAGTGGTGGGAGGGTGACGTGAGAAAAAGCAGGGTAAGGAGGGGATGCTTTGATATAAAAGTTCTTACAACGTTTGAAACTTGACATTTTAGAGTCAGGGTGTGGAGTTATTAGGTATAAAGGTCTGAAAGAATTCTGGAACATTAGGCTAATTTATTTTTCACCTAATGGCAGAAGAATACCAAGCAGAATATCATTTTGTTAAACACTGAAACTGTTCCAACGAAAATATGTAATATGTGAGATATAATAGAATTTCTACAAAATGTTTCTATAATTATTTGAATGAGATAAAAAATATATTCCTTTTTATGTACTAAAATGAAACAAAAGTGAAAGAGCTTTTAATTTAAAAAGGACATCTATTAAAATCTTAACTATTGAAATAATTTTCTATTTGCTAATGTTTTGCTTTGTAACATGTATTAGTTTGAAATTTGTATCCCTTAATCCCTACATAATGCTAACTACATATCATATATTGGAAAAACTATTTACTAACTAAATTTTTAAAAGTTTAATTAAAATAGCACGTAACACTTGATTTATCAAAAAAAAGCTACAAATATATTCACATTTCAATTGTCTTAATTTTAAAATTTTTCTTTATTTTTTTTGAGACAGGTCTTGATCTGTCTCTTGGGCTCGAGGGCAGTGGCGTGACATCATAGCTCACTGCAACCTCTGAGTTCTGGGTTCAAGAGACCCTCCTGCCTCAGCCTCCCACGTAGCTGGGGCTATAAGTGTGCACCACCACACCTGGTTAGTTTTTTTCTATTTTTTGTGGAAATGAGGTCTTGCTCTCACTCAGGGTGATCTCAAACTCCTGGCCTAAAATCATCCTCTTGCTTCAGCCTCTCAAAGTGCTAGGATTGCAGGTGTGAGCCACCATGCCCGGCCAAAAATTCTCTTTACTAACATATGTGCGTCTGACAATGTACCTTCCATAAGGAACATCAAAAGAGGTTTTTCACTGTATGGTTATGTTATTAAAGGAAATTAAAGGAAAACCAGACTGAGGACTTTAAGCAAATGTTCAGAATGGGAGAAGAATGGAAATCTGAGATCTCATTCCTAGGCAAAATTTGAAAAAATTGTATAACTTTTAGATATGATAGACATATCGAACAGTTCTGATATTTAATGTACTCAACCTTAACTTTTTTTACTTAGTTTAACTATATCAAGATTAACTGTAATCTAGGTTTTACATATTTTATTTATATTTACTCAGTACAGCTAATAAAAACTTCCTATTCCAAAAGGGTAAGTGACTACTGTGAATGATTTGAATTCCATAAAGGAAGGTATATTGGATAAAGGAAGATATATTACTATGACCAAACATAATGTTTGGATGATGAAAAATGATAACAATGTCATATTTATTCATAAGCAAACAGGGACAACTGATTAATTAGGATATTCACAATGAAGAACTCAGACTTAAACAAATGTAGACTTTTTTTCTTCCCATGATATAAATGCAAAACTCGCTTTAAAAGTTTAGTTTTTTACTTTAAAAAAGTTGACTCCACACCAAACTATATTATCTATCATTTTGTCTCTCAGTGATAGATGTTTATATCTTCTATCACAGTAGTGTTGACAATGTGGTTAATTAAGATAGATTTCCTTACAAAGAGATTTGGGTCAAAATTTACAAATCATCTCCCAAAATTGCTACAAAATATAAACTATACTTAAAATTCTATGCAAAATGTAGGTGCTATCACCACCAATCATAAGGGTCATATTAAAGTTTTAGTTTGCTGAAAGTACTATGATATTGAAATGTTAAGAAAAAACAGAGCCTGGATAATTAGCTAATTCCACTAATATTAATCTCAACATAACAGGTCTGTGAACACAATCTTCATAGTGTTAAAACATAACCATTTTCCTATGTTGTATTTTTTAATGTGTGATTGACCAGGCAACATGTTTATAATTGGGCAAAGGAAAAAGATTTAATGTCACTATAAGCTGAAAGATATGATCATTAATGACCAAACTAATATAGTTCTCTGGAAAAAAACTTGGCCAAATATCCATACTGAATTGTTAAAACTTAGGGAAATTTTAGTGATTTGGTAACCAAGTTCTGAACTTAGTATAGAACCTCTCCAATTCTGGCAGTTTTTTCTACCAACAACAGTAAAATTTCTAGAGTATGGAACTGAATAAGAACTTGATTTGTTTGGTTTTTGACAGTTGTCTTCTAAATTTTATGTTTTTTTATCAGGTATGTCGTCATACATCTTAGACATATTGTGATATGCTGAGAGAAACACTTCCTCATTATACTGATAGCTAATATATCCTTTGAAGTCTACGTACGTATGTATTTAAGCCTATATACCTATCCTCCCTCACCCCATGTGTATTCACATTTACTCTTCACTCCTCTTACCATGGGCAGGTCTTTTAGGATCTGTATTCCATCTCCAGGACCCATGTGTGCTATGTGGTTAAAATTAGTTGGATTAGAAATTAATTTGTTTCTCATTTCTGGATCTCGTAGCATCTCCCTATAAGACAAAACACCTGTTTAGACACTTTTCCCATAATCTAGGTAAGTTAAGAGAAAAATTAACCATACTTTAATCTTTTTTTTAAAAATAAAACTACTAAATCATGTTAATAAGGATATAATTAGAATAACACAATATACTCAATTAAAAATTCACTTCTTTAGAATGTTTTCTTTTAAATTTTAAATAAAGGATCTTATGATTTTGTACAGGAAAATCGAGAGGGTCCTTTTAATACTTAAGATATCAAAGAAGCTCCACTCTATTTCATAGATAATTCTGAACATTTCATGTATCTATTTCAAAATTGATAACACTTTAGAAATGTTTTTTTGTTTTTTTTTGAGACAGAGTCTCAGTCTGTTGCCCAGGCTAGAGTGAGTGCCATGGCGTCAGCCTAGCTCACAGCAACCTCAGACTCCTGGGTTCAAGCAATCCTTCTGCCTCAGCCTCCCGAGTAGCTGGGACTACAGGCATGTGCCACCATGCCCGGCTAATTATATATATATATATTAGTTGGCCAATTAATTTCTTTCTATTTGTAGTAGAGACGGGGTCTTGCTCTTGCTCAGGCTGGTTTTGAACTCCTGACCTTGAGCAATCTGCCCGTCTCGGCCTCCCAGAGAGCTAGGATTACAGGCATGAGCCACTGCACCCGGCTGTAGAAATGTTTTAGATGTAACTGGAAGTACTACAAGGTTATTTGTTTATGAAGAGAATAGTTAATCTGAACTTCTTAGAGATTTATTATATGCAAAGATATGTTCTAAGTTTAAATTGTAGAAAGATACACATTCTAAAAATTGTAACTATTTCACATACATACAGAAATGAATAAAAATATGGTACTTTAATTCAGTGTATACTCACAACTTAGAGAGTATTAACTAATTAAAATGACTGAGAAGTGACATTCATTATTGCAGTACTGACACTATAGATGAGTGACAGATTTTTAGATATCAATTTTTCCTTCCAAATTGAATATACTATTATCACCAAGTAGTCCTTCAAATGCTACAAGCATAATAGGTATAAATTTAATATCTACCTCCTCTGTTGCATTCTTTCCTCCTCTGGGACTCTGAAGGAATAGCGTCGCTTATTGTTGATATTTCTAACCATCTGTTTCCGACTATTATCTGATGTTTCAGGAACTACCAGTTCATCCCCTTCTGTTAAAAAAAAATACAAAGAACAATGATGTTATCTAAACTACTAAAATTTTTTTTATCCATTAATCTCCGAGATAGTGAAAATGTTAATCAATTGTACAAGTATATTCAATTCTGATTTTTAAAAGTTTTATGTAGATAACCATAGTAAATAAGCAATAATTTCCTACAGAACAGATATAAACAGATACATGATGATATTAAACATGGCTTATAAAACATATTTTCACTTTTATTTGATTATAAACATAAAATAACATTCTCCTTCCCAGTATTGGTTTCAATGGCTTAGGGTGTTAAAGAGCTGCTGTCGTTAACCTGCATAGTAATCAGGTATAAATGGTAAGACATTCATGTAAATAATAATAATTATTATTAATAAATAATTAAAATGATTTTTATATCATAAAACATATCCTCTGCAAGGTTCAAACTATGAGACGTGGAGTAAGGAAAAGGAATTGTAATCTATCTTCCTTTACTAAAGGTAAGAATCTGTTGCTATTTCTACTCTTCTGATCTTGGGGGTAGATGATATTTAATCATATACACCTAGCAACCCAGTGCCCATCTTATCCTATGTCAGTTTTAGTATCTAGAAGTAAAAAAAAACTATCAGCTAGGGACTCCTAAAACATGCTGGGCTATGTGACTATAAGAATAAAACAGACAACGGTATCCACGTAACATGACAGGAGATGCCATTACCTAAATAACACAAGGAAAAAGAGAAAACACAACATTTAGAAGTTTTCAACACCCAAAAACCTGAAGTGCAAAGAAGGAGGTAGGAGGAAGCCAAACAGGCCTGTAGGGCCAAAGTAGATGATGAGCAAGAAGAGACAAGCTCCTTGCAGTGTAATGTGAGATTGCTTTCCTAACAGCAAACACTAAAGGGATAGAATTTTTAAAGTGGATGAGAATGTGGGACACAATTTTAGACTTTAAGAATTATGAGGGTAAAGCAGGTCTAGAAGAGGTATGGTGGCAATAGGAGATTCTGGAGAGCCAGAGGGTTGCAGGAGCACTTCAATCTCTTGAAGAGATGAAAGAGAAAGCAAGACACAGAAAAAGAAAGGATCTCCTGGAAATGGAATTTCTTTCCTTTGTCAAAGAACAAGACAACTGTATTCAAATTTGTCAGGTCCACCTCCTCCAACCTCTACCTCTACTCTTAGCCTAGAGTAAAAAGATAAAAAGACAAGTTGGAATAGGTTTTTCCCTACAGACACAAAGTGGGTATGGAAATATTTCATGACTAGCATGGCCACACAGAGTGACAACAGGGCAGAGCTAATTTTATATTAATATAAATATCTAGAGTTCTTCTAAGAAACAGAACACAAGCATACCTTGCAGATATTGTGGGTTCAGTTCTAGACTACCACAAAAAAGTAAATATCGCAATCAAGAAATTCACACAATTTTTTGGTTTCCCATTGTACATAAAGGTTATATGTACACTATACTATAGTCTATTAAGCTTACAATAGCGTCATGTAGGAAAAAACAATGCACATACTTTAATTAAAAATATTTTACACTAAGTGTAATATTTTTGCTGGTGGAGGATCTTGTCTTGATGTCAATGGCTGCTGACTGATCAGGATGGTGGTTGCTAACGGTTGGGGTGGCTGTGGCAATTTCTTAAAAAGAGACAGCAATGAAGTTTGCTGCAACTGATGGAGGCTTCCTTTCATGAAAGTTCTCTGTAGCATGCAAGACTATTTGACAGCATTTTACCCATAGCAGCAAATATAATTTTCAAAATTGAATCAATTCTCTCAAACGCTGCCTCGGCCCTACCACTAAGTTTATATAATATTCTAAGTCCTTTGTTGTCATTTCAACGATATTCACAGCATCTTCGCCAGGAGGAGATTCCATCTCAAGTAACCACTTTCCTTAATTATCCATAAGAAGCAACTCCTCAACTGTTCAAGTCCATCACGAGATTGCAGCAGTTCAGTCACATCTTCAGCACCTACTTCTAATTCTAGTTCTCTTGCTATTTCTACTATACTTGCAATTATTTCCTCCACTGAAGTCTTGAATCCTTCAGAGTCACCCATGAGGGCTAGAATCAACTTCTTCCAAACTCCTGTTAATGCTGATATTTTGACCTCTTCCCATGAATCACAAATGTTCTTAATGGCATTTAGAATGGTGAATCATTTTAATCTATTTTGCCCAGATCCATCATAGAAATCACTATCTATGGCAGCTATAATCTTACAAAATGTATTTCTTAAATGTTAGACTTGAAAGTTAAAATTACTCCTTGATCCACAAGCTGCAAAATGGATGTTGTGCTAGCAGGCATGAAAACAACATTCATCTCCTTGTAAATCTTCATTAGAGCTCTTGGGTGACTGGTGAATTGTCAATGAGCAGAAATATTTTGAAAGGAATCTTTTGTGAGCAGTTGGTCTTAACAGCAGGCTTAAAATATTCAGCAAACCACAGATGTGTTGTGATCTAGGGTTTGTTGTTGCATTTAGAAAGCACAGAGTAGACTTAGTGTAACTTGTAAGGGCCCTGGGATTTTCAGAATGGTAAATGAGCACTGGCTTCAACTTAAGAGTCACTAGCTGCATTAGCCTCTAACAAGAGAGTCAGCCTATCCTTTGAAGCTTTGAAGCCAGGCATTGACTTCTCCTCTCTCATTATGAATGTCTCAGATGACATTTTTCTTTCAATACAAAGCTGTTTAGTCTACACTGAAAATCTGTTATTTAGTGTAGCCATCTTCCTCAATTGCCTTAGCTAGATCTTCTGAATAACTTGCTGCAGCTTCTCCATCAACACTTGCTGTTTCACCTCACACTTGTATGTTATGGAGACAGTTTCTTTCCTTAACCTCAAGAGCCAACCTCTGCTAGCTTCAAACCTTTCTTTTATAGCTACCTCACTTCTCTCAGCCTTCACAGAATTGAAAAGAATTAGGGCCTTGCTCTGCATTAGGCTTTGGCTTAAGGGAATGTTGTGGCTGGTTTGATCTTCTACTGAGACCACAAACACTTTCTCCATATCAGCAATAAGGCTGTTTCACTGTCTTATCATTCATGTGTTCATTAGAGTAGCACTTTTAATTTCTTTTAAGAACTTTTCCTTTGCATTCACAATTTGGCTCTTTTGCACAAGAGGTCTAGCTTTTGGTCTGTCTTGGCTTTCAACATGCCTTCCTCACTGAGCTTAATCATTTCTAGCTTTTGATTTAAAGTGAGAGATATGTGACTCTTCTTTTTAACTGAACACTTAGCGGCTATTGTAGGGTTATTAATTGGCCTGATTTCAATATTGTTGTGTCTTAGGGACTAGGGAAGCCCTAGGAGAGGAAGAGAGATGGGGAAATGGACAGGTCAGTGGAGCAGCCAGAACACACACACATTTATAGATTAAGTTTCTATCTTATATGGGTATGGTTCATGATACCCCAAAATAATGATAATAGCACAGTAACATCAAAGATCACTGATCACCACAACAGATATAAAAATAATGAAAAAGTCTGAAATATTGTGATAACTGACAAAATGTGACATAGAAACAGTAAGTGAGGCCAGGCGTGGTGGCTCATGCCTGTAATCTGAGCACTTTGGGAGGCCATGGTGGGAGGATCGCTTGAGCCCAGGATTTTGAGGCCAAACTGGGCAATAGCAAGACCACATTTTTACAAAAAAATACAAATATTAGCTGGGCATAGTGGTACATGCCTATAATCCCAGCCACTCTCAGGGCTGAGGCAGGAGGATCTCTTAAGCTATGATTAAGAGCTATGATTATGCCACTGCACTCTAGCTGGGGCAACATAGTGAGACCCTATATCAAGAAAAAAAAAAAAAGAAAAGAAAAGAAAAAAGAAAGGAAAGGAAAGGAAACGAAAAAGGAAAGGAAAGGAACGAAACACTGAGAGCATACGCTGTTGGAAAAATGGCACTGGCACACTTACTTGCTTGATGCAGGGTGTCCACAAACCCTCAATTTGTAAAAAGGCGAAGCGTAATAAAATAAGATATGCCTGTATAAAATTCAGTATAGGGTGTTGGAAGTGAATAGCCTAAAGTTGAAGTTTCATGAGCTTCATGGTGAATCCATCTATGAGTGGGAATCGCTTCTAAAATTTGAATATTCTTTCTTAAGTCATACTGAAATATCCTCTTAGCACAGATTTCCACTAGAGTCACCAGTTTTATAACAAGAAACCTCCGGTTCTAAGAGGACATACTAAAACACCAAACCAGAAGCCAAGCCATTTCAGTGTACATTTCAGTACTTAAAACAAACAAAAACAAAGCCAAAAAACCCAAACCTTTGACAGGAGGAGGGAAAAAAAGATCAAGAAGATAATAATCTCACTACCCCAAAATAACTGGTATAACCATTTTAATGTGTTTTCTGAGGCCAATGTTACTACTTACATTTAAGTTAATTTAAATTATTTTAAATAAGGTACCATAGTATATCTTCATTAAATAGGTATACCAAAAAATATTGAAATTTATAAATACCTCTGTTATGCAGAAATTTGTTGCTATGACATGAGAATGTCTCTATTATATAGAAGAGGGCACTATAACGATATTTGATAAAAGTGAATGTTTTTTTTTTGAGACAGAGTCTTACTCTGTTGCCCAGGCTTGAGTGCTGTGGCATCAGCCTAGGACACAGCAACCTCAAACTCCTGGGCTCAAGCGATCCTCCTGCCTCAGCCTCCCGAGTAGCTGGGACTACAGGTATGAACCACCATGCCCGGCTAATTTTTTCTATATATTTTTAGTTGGCCAATCAATTTCTTTCTAGTAGAGACGGGGTCTCACTCTTGCTCAGGCTGGTTTTGAACTCCTGACCTTGAGCGATCCTCCCACCTTGGCCTCCCAGAGTGCTAGGATTACAGGAGTGAGCCATGGTGCATAGCCAAAAGTGAATTTTTTAACTCTTTGGACATACTCTGACTGCCAAGCAACATTTAACTACATGTAGATAGTCTCCCTGACATTTTACATGTGAAGTATGTAATTACATGTGTGACAGTCTCAGCTCACTACTTTGGTCACTGCCACACACCCTCCAGTCTGTAACACCCAGGGTCCCCATTCCCTCTCCTGATTTGGGCACTGCCCTTTGACTTTGCTCTCTTTCCTCCTTCGTCTTATGTTGACATCAGCAATTCAGAAGTACTAAGCCCTCTGCATTGGCAGGAGATGTACTTTGGAAGGCCCAAACTGGAATTCTAGATAAGTATTCATAGTTTTAGTGCTACAAATTTTGGTTAGGTTCTATAATATCAATGAAAGCAAAGGTGATATATTCAGCTATACTTTCTCTACTTAAGGACTCCACAGAAAAATAACAAGGTATATCAGAATCAAATACTTTGCTTATACAGCTATGCAAGCTTAAAGAGAATGACTTTTTGTCCAGTAGTTCATCTTAATACATTAAAAGAGTGTGACAGTGGCCCAGATCACAGACATGGAGTAAGATACACTTAAGCTTAAATCTGGACTTTGGCATTTATTATTCATGTGACCTTGGGCAGTAAGCTTAAGATAACATTTCCATTTAAGCTATCCTATTAATTTATATATATTTCTTACCTGCCATCTTATTTTTGAAATATATTAATCTAATTGTCTCCAACCCTAAAAGATTTAATGATCCTTCATTGTTTAAGGGTCGAACCTAAAATAATAAAAAATAAAATTAGTATTTCAACGAAACCTTTAAAAATTAAGTAATAAACTTTTTCGTTTGCTTATAAAATATACACTATTAGGACCTTTCATTTATCTACTTCAAAATATAGTCCTCTCAAAAAGTCAACAAAAAATTAATAATAATTCTACTGGAAAGGTGTGTTATCTAATCTGAAACTTAAAATGATAACATTTTAAAGGAAGACTATTCTGGGCATATAAGTAAATAAATAAATGAAATTAAGTAGAAATACATTTAAACCTTAAATTAGACTTCTTAAAGTTGTTAGTAACCAAATAATTATACTAAGAAGATATCACCACAGCTGCTTTATGGATTGTTACTATCAAAAACTAAATGCACACATATGATTTAGATGGAAATGCAGATCACTGGGGAAAGGAGGGACTATCTATAAATGGTGATGGAGCAACTGGCTATATGGAACCAACAAATTAAATTTCTACTTCACATCATATACAAAACTAAATTCCAAATGGTTAAAGACATACATGCAACAGGAAAAGCTTTAAAATGTTTAACTTGTACTCATCATCAAATTGGTACTAATTAACACTATGGTGCTCACATGGAAATAACACTCTCCAGGAATTAGGGGGTTGGCCGGGGGTTAGGGGTAAACTCATAACTAAAGGACACAATGAGCATTGTAGAGGGGAAGGGTATGCCTCTAATCCTTGCTTGGGTAAGATGTAACCAAAATGTTTGTACCCCCATAATACCCTGAAATTAAAAAAAAAGAAAAGAAAAAATATGTTTGGAGGAAAATAAAGGCTCTATCTTTATAACCTTGAGGAAGGAAAGTTTTTTAAGAGAAAAAAGACAAACCTAAAGGGTAAGAATGATAAATTTATCTACATCAAAATCAATAACTTCTCTTCAGCAAAATACAAATGGATAGGTCACAAAAAGGGAAAAGATTTTCCACATCCATTATTAACCCAATATCCACAATATATAAAGAATTCCAATAAATCAGTAAGAAAAAAAATGGCCAATACAATAGAAAAATGAGCAAAAAACATGACTAGGCATTTCATGAAAGAGGAACTATGAATGATGAATAAACACATGAAAGATTTTCAACCATACAGTTAATTAGGGATATACAAATTATTAATAACACTTCAATGAGATACTACTTTACAACCATTTACAAAAACTATGAATTCTTACAATGGGAAGTGTTACAGAGGATGAGAGTCAGTAAGAACTCTTACATACTGTTGAAGGGAGTATCAACTGGTACAATTGGAAAATAATATGACGTTATCTCATAAAGATACATAACTGCATTCCCCATGTCCCATTAATTCTCTTCCTAGGCACATGACTTAAAGAAACTCCTGTACACATACACCAAAAGACATACATACACAGCAATGTTCAGAATAGTAAAATGCTAGGAAATAATTCAAATATCTGCCAATCAGAGAATGGATAAATAGGGATAAATTTACCCAACAGAATATTTTATAGCATTGAAAAGCAATGAACTATAGTATATGTAACAACATGGATAAATCTTAGAAACACAGTAACTATGTAAAGAAAGCAAGGCAGAAAAGGACAATATATTATAACGTTTTTATAAAGCTCAAAAACAATCAAATCTAAACACTATATTGTTTAGGAATATTTAAATATGCAAAAATTCTGTATTTTAGGAAAAGTAAGGGAATGATAAGCACAATTTTCAGGATAGTTATTTTTCTCTGGGGAAAGGTGGGGAATGGGATAAAGGAGAAATATACAGGTAGATGCAGTGACATTGGTAATGTTCTTGCTACTAAGTAAGGAGGCGGGATCATGAGTGATCAGTTTATTATTATGCTTTATAAAGGTCATGTATCCTTTCATATCTATTGCAAACATTACATGATAAAAATAAAACAGAAAACTAACTATATGTAACCAGGCCAAATTTACAAACTAGAACATATTTTAGTTGCTTTATATAACATGGTTGTATTTACAAGAGCTTTTTAAACTGCTGATATGATTTAAAATTGGCACAAATTTTGTAATATGATCTTGGCTTCTTTTTTCACCTATTCCTCTAAACCCTGCCCCCAACTAATAATACATACTACATATACAATATATATCTACATAAAATGATTACTATTCATTTTTGTAAAATAGCAGTTCTATACTTGTAAAAGTTCCCTTTACATTATGAAAATATTAAGAAAAATATTGTTTATTAGGAAAAACCTTTATTTTCCAATCATGAGACACTTAAACACAGTTTTGGTTAAGTTTAATCACTTTTCTAGCCTGTAAAATCTGTCCTCACAGGACTAAACACTGTATACCACTATTTGAAAAACGGTTATAATTAATAATAATCATATACTCCTCCAGAGCTCCTTAATTCAAAAATGAAAAGTAATACTGACATTTTAGGTTCTAGGAAGTATTCTAGTTGTTCATCATAACAATCATACTTACTATAAATTAAGTGCATTAATAATAAAAATAGTATGGTTTGAGCTACCTATAATGAAATGAACCAGCTTGATTTTTGTTTTTATTTTCTTACTTTTAGCTAAGTCCCAAACTACCAATTACACCTGCCAGAAAATGCTGAATTAATAAAAAAATAGCTAACTAGTCATATTAGTGTTTATACTTATATTCATTAATTGGCTTTGCTCACATTTTAAAGTTAAATTACCTTTTTGAGAGGAAGAGTCTGAATCCATTCCATAGAGTTCACATCAAAGATATCGACTGCATTTTCACTATATACCGAGAGATATGGTGCATTGTAACCTAGGAGAAAGGAAGGTGGGAACAATCTGTTGATTACTTTTAACTACTAAACCCATAACATTTTGAAAGGTCTTTGTTAAATAACTGTAGAGTGAAATACCATGAAAATCCTACTGTTATCATAAAATAGCACATCAAAACAGTTCTGAAGTAAACAGAACATAAATCATAAATGAAGAACTGACATACCATGTTTCAGATTATACGGTCACTGTAATACAGAAGGATTTTGTTAACACTTGGGGTATAACATTCCCTTGCCCAATACTAGTTCTATAAAGGAATTTTCATTACATTTTTAAGTATTTGATTCCTAAAGTGTAAGTTTTGACAATGAAGCAAACTTACAAAGCAGAGAAATCTTTGGGTAAGTGCTTTTGTTCTGGTTCAGAATGTATAATAAAGCACCTCAGCACAGTTACATGAACAGGGGAGATGCTCAATATACACTTGGAATGAGTATCAATAAACGATGACACAAAGAGAGAATAAACAATTTACCTAAGCTTACGGTTGTGAAGCGAATTTTTAGCAGAGCTATACATAAAAGACAGATATTCCAACTCTTAAACTCCATATTAGAAGCAATACTCTGAATTATTATCTGACTTGGTTACAAAACAGCATTTACTCTACATATGATGCCAGAGTTAGGGGTATATATTTCAGAAGAAACAAAACATTAAAAATAGTTTAATCTGGGTGGGTATGATTAGAGGTATTTTTCTTTTGTTCTTTTTATCCCGATTTTCTAATTTTTCTGTAATAATCATCTATTGCCTTCCTAAACTTCCTTCCAATGACCATTTAAACTTGACTAGACCTATACTCATCATTTCTCTTTCTATCTTCTTATAACGGAAGAGGTTTTACTCCTCCTGCCTCTATGTACTGAATTTTACCCTGTCTGGCCTTCTTGGGGATCTTACTCTATTTCCTGTATTACCCATATAGTCAACTTTTTCCTAGTAGTTCCCTAGTGGTTTTTTTCCCTCTAGCATTTAAACATGCTCAAGTATTTTCCATTAAAAACAAAATGATGTGGATTAGATACTCCTCTTATGCACGTCTATAGAACCCTGTACTTCTGCTACTGTAGTGCTTATTTTCTACTGCAATTACTTTGTTTTATACAAATCTATTCTCCTGCACTCTATGCTCTGTGAAGGTAAGACTATATATATTTCATTCATTGCTATATCTTATACAGCGCAATGGCATATATCCAATAATAATTGAATTATTATTCAATAACGAAAGTATTCAATAGTTAAAAGTATTTTTTTCTAATAATAATAATAATGATAAAGAAGGCAGGAAAGCAGGCCCTCTTTTCCCCAAATAGAAGGAGGTGGAGAGAGAAAGGGGAAGGACAGGGACCCCCGAACCACCTTCAGTAATTTATTAATGTCTTAAGAGTGAAATAAGCAATTTAAAATATCTACTTATCTAGATAAAAATGTGAAACTGAATAACACCTCTTATGGATGCTAATTATATCTTTACATAATTGAGTAAATAATTCACTTAGTAACTAATCTTCCAGAATAAGTCCTATGAGCTATTGATGCTTACAAGCACCATATTTTGGGGGACAACGAAGATAACTTAGGGTTATTTCTAAACACAACATAGGGAAAAAAAACTCATTTCAGTAAAATATTACACAAAAAGATTAGTTTTACTTATGTACATATTAATGCTGATGACCCTGTTTGTCTGGGCCTAACTACACATGGTTTTTATATAACATAATTAATACTTAGAACCTTAAGAATGACTTAAATAATCTATTATTAACAATGACAACATTTAGGAGATAAAGTGGAAGAAAAAAGAAAGAAAAAAGACACAGAGCTAAGGCAGTAATAAGAAAGGGAATCTTACAACAAGAGGAAGGATTTGCTGGCCACATCAATTCCTGTTGTCTAGATCGTCGGCCCTGGCAGTCAGTGTAAATCCCAATGCTGTTAAAACACAGCAGGTATTCTTTACTGGAGATCTCAACCGCGCAGATGGCATCCATTGGTTGATGAGCAATAAATGATAGTGTGTGGTCATTTGAATGGAGCATACTATATGGACTTCCTTCTCCATTCAAAGGGTATCTTAGAAATCCTGACTGGAATCCCACACAGAGCTGTTCACTGAAGATTGCCATCCACTGGACATTATATGGGACTTGAATTTCCTTAAATTTTCTGTGACGGGTCTTGCTCTGAAATAGTTCATAACAGAAGACCTGCCTTTTCATAGCCACACAAAGGCATGTGAGAGCTCCATGGCGCACCTTTCCAGAAGTTATGGTTTGACACCCTTTAGTTTCTGCCAGCTTGTAAAAATCAGTCTCTCGCCCATCTAAAGCTGACATAGGAAAAAGTCGTACGTGACGATTTCGTCCTGAGATCACAGCAACGAGCTGATCATTTGGAATTAGTTCAATCTGATGAATCTTCTTATTGTCACCAACTCTAATAATTTCTACACACAGAAATAATAATAAATCAAATGCAAAATAGTTTTCTTTATTAACCATATCACAGTTATACTAAGAGGATATAAATCAACTTGTAATAAAGACACTGATGCACACCTACAATAGTAAGAGATCAGAAATCACAGAGAAAAAGGAAGATAAACCTACTACAATTTGACTCACTTATAGTAGGTATTAAATTTAGCACTGAGATTTCTGGCAGCCAAGGCAAAGAGTTCTTATGTAAAACCATGTCAAATCTTTAAGAAAAATCTTTTTATGGCCACTTAATTCTAGGGAACTTCGCCATGAGGTTCATATTTTTAAACACTGAGTAACTCATATTTCTCTGAAGGTACTTCTATGGGTAACAAACTAATAAAGTTTAAATGCATTGTTTTCCCATGATCTAACTTCATATAAACACAGAACTTAAAATACCAAGTTAGATTGGTTTCTCTTTTTTTCAACCAGCATTTCATTTCTCCCTAGAAAAAAACCTGCTCTATTGGACCATGGGGAAAAAAACTCAAATACTTTAATAGTCTGTACCTCTTACTAGTATTAACAGAACAACAAGAAACTCAAGTTGTATTTTTTCTCATGTACCATCTTTAGAAATGCAACCTGAGTTCAAATAGCAGAGCCGTTAAATGACACAAGAAAAACAATATACACTTCCAAGTTTTAGAATTCAGGGGTATTACAGAAACTGAAAAATAATCTTTTAATTTATAAACATCAAATTAAGTCTGAAAAATTTCAGTTATAGAATAAAGAGTAAATCTTGTCCTTTTTAGAACTTAGAATCTAGAGTTTAGAATTTTCTAACATATGATCTAAAATTACTCCAAAATAGCTAAGTTTTCTCTTACCATCTTTGGTGACATGAATAACAAATAGCCCTTCTTCATTTCCCAAAGCTATCCTCTCATGATCTATGTAAGACATAAATAAGAAACAGATTTATTAGGTAAAAGCCATGTAAAGCTTAACAGAATAAACCAGATAATAAGAAAATTTGGTACAAAAAAATGGAAATAAAATAAATTTAAAAAATCAAAATATAGCAATAGCAATTTACACTATTAAATTTCCTTTTAGATTACAGTGGTAAATGTCTCAAGTCTTTTTTGAGAAAATAATTTTAAAAAATCTACATCAACACCTATAAAAAGCAGTAAATGTTTATTCAATAAATGGTAAAACAAAAACAAAAAAAAAGAAAAAAAAAGAAAAAGAAAAAGACAAACCCAGTTTGTTACTGCCCTGGGTCCAGTTCCATCTATTTTTTGTTTTGGAAGGGAAAAAGCGTGAAAGGCATTTGAACCTACTCATTAAACTTTTTGTTATTTACTGGAAACTAACAAAAGAATTGGATGTGTATGTAAGAATAGAGCAAAAATTTAAACCTCCAGACGCCGAAGCTGTCATTTGTTAAGGGCATTATTATGCAGCTTCTCTTTGTTATGTATTCCACCTTATTTAAACTTCCCAATAACCTCAGCAAGGTAATTAATTTTACATATTAAACTTATGCTCTAAGAAATTAACTTATTCTAAGTCACACAAGCAGAAAATAGATTAACAGGTTAATCTTTTGCATGGTAACTTTTTCAGAAGAAAATGCACTTAGAAAGTGTACTGACTCTTGTTTACTGAAATACAAAGATCTCATATAGGAATCATTCATTCAATAAACATTTAGTAAGCATTTGTGTTATATCACATAGTATGTTGAACACTGAAGATTCCTAAATGAAAGCTAGTCCCTGTTCACAAGCTAGATTAGTAAACAATTATGAAAATATGACAAATGTTTTAAATTCATACCTATGATTGCAGCTGCCTGGGTTGTTTTAATGAGGGGTAGAGTGCTGTCATAAGCCTCTTTGGGAACATAGACTGAGCGGTCTCTGAATTTGTTTTTCTTCAAAATCTTGTGCAATTCACTCAGCACTCCCACCCACTTACTCTTCTCATTTTCACTATCTGCTAGCATCAGGATTGAACATTTGTCATTAGATGCTGAGAGCTGGGAAGCTGTGACCTAGAACAATTTAATCAATATTCATGATATTAGAAAACAGAAACCCTTTATGCTGGTTTGCTTAGCACTCACCAATAAAATGAACATGCATTAAATGATACCTTTAGAATTTTCTAACATATGATGTAAAATCACTCCAAAATAGCTAAGTTTTCTCTTACCATCTTTGGTGACATGAATAACAAATAGCCCTTCTTCATTTCCCAAAGCTAAGATACCTTAGATACCTTACCTAAGATACCTTAGCTAAGATTCCCAAAGTAAAGATACCTTTAATGGAGTTTAGCTAGCATAAATCAGAATAACTAGTTTTAGCACTAGAACTCATGACAAAGCAAAGGTGGCATATACCATTCAAAATGTTAGTATCTGCCGGGCACGGTGGCTCACGCCCGTAATCCTAGCACTCTGGGAGGCTGAGGCGGGTAGATCGCTCGAGGTCAGGAGTTCGAAACCAGCCTGAGCAAGAGCGAGACCCCCGTATCTACTATAAATAGAAATAAATTAATTGACCAACTAATATATATAGAAAAAATTAGCCGGGCACGGTGGCGTATGCCTGTAGTCCCAGCTACTTGGGAGGCTGAGGCAGCAGGATTGCTTGAGCCCAGGAGTTTGAGGTTGCTGTGAGGTAGGCTGACGCCACAGCACTCACTCTAGCCTGGGCAACAAAGCGAGACTGTCTCAAAAAAAAGTTAGATCATTTTCATTTCCCTTCCTATAAAAGTGCCAGCACAGCACTAAAAATGCATTACACATAGTCATACAATAATAATAACTGTCATTATTAATTACTGAGCACTGGGTAGATCTTTAGATCTAATCACTTTATAAGTATTAATAATTTAACCCTCTTAACATCTTCATGACATATTAATAGTACTGTCATTACATCCTTAGTGTATGTATGAAAAAACTGTGATACAGAGAAAGTAAGTAATTTTTCCCAGGGCACATAACTAGAAGTCTGGGATCCTGTATCTTTGCTCTTAAGCACTATACAATACTGACTTTCAACTTGTTTTAAAAAGTCAGAAATGCTCAGAAATACTTACATTTTCTCTTACTTCATAACAATATGTCACATTATCATTAGAGAAGACTGGATCACTTGAATTAGTATTTAAATGGAGGCTTAACATTATACAAACAGCATTCACAAAAAGAACAGATTTAAATTTTATATATGAGTTCCTTATTAAAATAGGTAAGTTAAATTAGGTAAGTGGGCCTCTGTAGACTCCACTGGTGGCTGGGAGGAGACTAAACAGTTGTCAGTCTGAGAACTGGGAGACGAAGCATAGTCTTTGCCTGACCTTCCACAGATACTAGATTCATAGACAAATACTAAGTAGACAGGCAAAACTATAGGGCAGTAGTCACTTTTTAAAAAATCTCTATTGTCTTCATTCACCAACTCAAGATCACATTCTGGTAAACAGCCTCCAAATATGGCCATGAACAATTCCTCCTATGGAATTCCATTCTTTTTATTGAGAGGTGGAGTCTATTTCCCCTCCCCTTAAAACTGGTCTGACCTCATGACTTGCTTTGCTCAACATAAAGAAGAAGGGTTATTATGCCTTTTTGGGCCCAGTCCTTAAAAGGTCTGGCAGCTTCTTTTGCTCTTTTAGAAGCTAGCCACTGAGAGCTCGGCCAATGATTAGCTCCCTAATCATTAGGGAACATGCACAGAGTCCACAAAGAAGGGAGCAGAGATCACCCAGCTAGCACCAAGACTCCAGATGTAAGAGTAAGGTCATTTTGGATATTCTGGCTCCAAATGAGCTGAATGTAGACACCACCACAAGAACTGCACAGCTGACCCACAGAATAGTGAAATATAATAAATCATTGTTGGTTTAAGCCACTAAGTTTTGGCATGGTTGTTACAAAGCAGTAGATAACTGAAACACATTAGTTTTTAAAGAGAGAAACATTTATTTTTAAAAAACTTGAGAAACCTCGCATATCCAATTTTCCATGTGGTAATATTTATTTAAAAATGGAATTGGGATTCAAACATATTAACTATCAGAAAACATATTTTAGAAGCCATATATTCATGCTTTCTACAAATCTTTCACTAATTAAATATTTTCTTAGCACCAATTTTCTATACATTCAAGTACTAGATAATATGAAGTGTACAAAGAAATATAAGATTACATTTTATGTAATACTTTTTATGATTTAGATGGAGAGGCAAAACATACTCATTAAAAATAAATAATTCAGTGATCAAATTATAGCACACACTTACTCTAAATATACAGGGTATATCTTTTCGACTTGCATGAATAACATCAGAAGCTAAGACTGAACTCACAGAAAACTCTTCATCCCTGAATGGAAAGAGAAACACTGAAAGTTAGTATATGCAGCGATGTGTGTGTGGCTTTGAGTCTGTATCTAAAAACACATGAAGCAATCCACAAAGCTTAAATACCCAAAACATCCAAATTGAACTTAAAAATTTTTTTTATTTTCCCCCCATTGTAATCAATAGTGCCCAAAGTAATTTATCAAGAATAACTTAACAGTGGCGCATGATACAAGAGCTAGAAGTAACTGCTGGCTTACCCAAAGTCACAAGGCTAGTATATCTGAAGAACTGGGATTTGAACTCTGGTAGATCTTCAGAGTTTCTAGTGGACTCTCTTGCATCCCATAATATCTTAAGTGCCCTCAACCCAGCTCATCTGACATATTATTGTTCTTTCAACATCTAAACCAGATTTCTTCCACAATAATTTATTTCTTGCGATTTCTTTAATTTTGTTATAGGTACCATCATTCCCTTGGTCACAGAAGGCTTGACATCTAGTTCTCTCCCTGCTATCTTTCTATAGTCTCAGCAGGTTCTGTCAGGTTTTCCTTGCTGGTATTTCTCACACCTATCTGGTGTGAAATGCCAGTGTGAGGCACAGCGGGAAATTTTGGTGTTTAGTCATGGATGGTTGTATCTGGACTGGAGATACATGTTGGGGAGCCATCAATGCAAGGTGATGGCTGAGGCTGTGGGAGTAAACAAGACCACTCAGGCAGTGCCTGGAGTCAGGAGAAGAGGTAAAGGAGAGCACTCCAAGGACAGGGGAAGAATCTGAAAAATGAGACCAGAAGCATTCAAGAGATGTACTTATTTAAATGTTTACTGAATCATTATGTTTTCCAAGAGCTTGTTTGATTTTCAGATTTTTATTTCCTTTCCTTACATGAGAATTATATTCCACACCTTTACGAGACACAAACATCAGACATTAGGCCCCCATTACCCCAGCAATCTTTAAACTGGTCTTTTGAACTCAAACACCAGCTTGTTTTCCTTGACTCCTAACCTTACAATCTCAACAAACATCTCGAACAATCTCAAAACCGACCTGTCCTATAACTACATCTTGCTTCCTATTTTTAATTGTTACTATATCAACATTAACAGTAAATTAGAAATTAATATGAAATTAGATTATTTAAATGAACCATGCCAATATAATTTTTTAAAAATCAGAAAAACTTGAATTTCTATGCTGCAACGATACAAATATTTTTGCCTTCAAAAGCTTACCTCATGTCAATCACTTGACTAATGACAACACTGGGCTGAGATGCTTTGCCTTCAGCAATATCGTACAGAAAGAGTTTGAAGTCACAAACCACAGCCAGTGCTCTTTGCCATCCTTTCTTTACTCCAGCTGGTTTAGGAATCTTAGAATTGTTTTAGACAAACAAAAAACAAATCAAATGAAAATGTCAATCAGAGCCCCTTTAATTACATACGTAACTGCATGGTGAAATCCTTAAGATAATATACACATTATAAATTTGCAACTTTGGTTGGTGAAGTAGCAGATGGGACATAATAACATATAAGAAAACATGATAACACACTCATCAAACAATGAATGACTTTTTATTCTGAAAGATTTTTAAGTGACACCATTTTAATTTGCACTAGTAATTTATTAAAATAACATTCATCATTTTCTTTCTAAATAGCATAAAAGAAAAATTTAGTAACAAGATGAAATTCAGATTACACTGTAAATATTACCTAAGATAACAAGATTATGCCTTGATAATATCTCATAATTCATAACCATATGCCACCTCTCTGGCAAGAACAGGTGCTAAAGACTCCTTTGTAGAAATTTTAACAACTATTCATCATGAGACAGGGACAATACAGAAAAGTTTGAGACATTTTAGAATTTATTTCCAAGTAAAAAGTAAGTTTTTGCTTTCAAATCCTAACTCTGAATGAAATAAAATTATTAGATCAATTTTATTCATTTAATTTTCTGTCAATATGTTCTTAAAGTGAGTATATTTTATTTTAAATCATTAATAAACCTTAATCTAAACCCAACTTAATCATACTTACTCTGACATGACCTTCATATGCTGTTCCTATTCCTTTCTGCGGATCTATACCCAGGGGACCTTTTGTCTGTTCAGGAGGAACTGGACAAGCAGTTGGTGCTTTGTTTACACAAGTTATATGACATGAGAATCCACACACTTTCAGAAGAAAAAAAAAACGTTTGATTAAAATTCATTTCAACAAAAAGAAAATTCACTGAGAACTCACTGAGTGCAAGGTGTTGTTAGATGAATGCTTATCTTTGATTTTATTTTTTAATCCTCAACATTTTCTTTGGCTTGAAATCCATGTATCCAATGGACTAGTTAAAATAATATAATATGGATCTTTCACTTTAGTTGTGAGAACTAACCAAACACAGACTGCATTGCCTTAAAATGCTATTAATTTCCCCCTTACTCAAAGTGGTCAAATACAGGCTAGCTACAAGTATATATAAAGGGAACAAATGCATCTGATGGGGACTGACATTCCCTCTAAGGTCCCTCCCAACTCTAAGAGCAGGAGAGCCTGGAAATGGAAACTAGTATTAGAATCTGAATTACCAGGTATCTTCTTGTCTTTTTCATGAGATAAATAAGCAAATCACATATAAGGTGATATTGTAATAGCAAGTCTCACTTGATTTTAAAAAAAGTGTATTTCTAATACACTCACAAATTAATAATATATACCATTTATCATTTAAATTATTCTATTTCAGAGGTCCTAGGAAAACTAAAGAGGTTCCCAAACAAATGTACTTTGTTTTCTGTTCAAATGACCCTGATACTTTCTCCCTTGCTTCTGAGAACGTGAGCTCCACATGGGCAGGATCTTGGTCTTTCCCCCAATCTGCTACTGTAGCCCCAGTGCCCAGAAGCACAGAGGGGCATTCCATAAACACACGATGAACAACAAAGAATGCGTTGGGAAAAAGCTCTGCTATTAATAATAGGAAGAAAACATCTTTGAGGCACAGTGGCAGACATTTAATGTTTCTTAAAAGGTACTAAGTTGCCTACTTTTTAATAATAATTTTTCTAATAAATTAAACAAGGTTAAAATTAAATTAATAATTCAAGGATAACTTTCATGTCTTTCACCATATAGGTTAATGCATTTTGGGGACCACAAATGCACCTAAATAATGAAACAAAGATGAACAAAACATTTAAATGTATCTCCTATATAAAATGTTTCTAGAGAACATCTATCTGTCTAGTTTCTCTAACATTCAACAGACAAGGTGCTTAGTTTATTGTTTCTATTCCTGTTATGCAAATAAAAGCAAATGATTAAGTAAAATAAATAAGTAAACATTTATATACCTTTTAAAGAGAATAAAGTTATTTGATTACAATTTAGATAGTAAATGCTAGGACTCTATAGTCACATTTTCTTTCCATTTTGTTCTTACCTTCACATGAACAGCCCTGTCTTATCAAACCCACCATCAAAGAGGTACACTGATGACATTTCGTAGGAGTAGTAAAAGATTTTACAAAAAACTGGTGAGTCTTGCGCTGTAAAATAAATTGATAAAGCATACATGTTGATTATTCAAAGGATTTCCATAATGTGAGCCCCTACACCCCACACCATCTTCTAGAATGTTTTTAAATAGAAGTAGAATGAATTCTTTCTATTTCTCATTACATCTTCTTATAGTTTATACTCTTTAAATATTTTTAGGCAATATTGAGCTACAATAAACTAAAATAATATAAGAAGTTAAATGATAATCAATTGCTCTTAAATGCTATCTGAGAAGTATATAATATAAACTGTAGCTTTTTTTGGCTCACAAATCTTGGCTTCAGGATTTTTATAAATTCTCCAAATTATCCTTCAGCAAAGAGTTAAGTGAAATCTTGCAGATATATGCCTATATAAATACAGAATTTTAATATGCTTCATATCCTCTTAGGAAGAATAAAAAGTAACTAAAAATTCTTATTTCTACTCTAAACCATGCATTTCATTTTCTGGGACCAAGAACAAATAATATATTTCACAAATCTCTTTCCTTCCATGGAAGGAGGTAATATTATACTTGAACAGATAAAAATATCATACAAACATATTATTCCAGAAACAGATGGCAGACTGAAGTTTCTTACTGAAAACCCAGTAAAGTTCTCTAAATTTTGTCTGATTTATATGATGGTAAGCCAATGTAGACTTTATCTCTTTGGAATACTTCTTTCTTCTTCAAATTAACTCTTCATCATGTTTTTATTTATTTATTTTTTTTGAGACAGTCTCAACTTTGTTGCCCAGGCTAGAGTAAGTGCCGTGGCATCAGCCTAGCTCACAGCAACCTCAAATTCCTGGGCTCAAACAATCCTTCTGCCTCAGCTTCCCGAGTAGCTGGGACTACAGGCATGCGCCACCGTGCCCGGCTAATTTTTTCTATACATATTAGTTGGCCAATTAATTTCTTTCTATTTATAGTAGAAATGGGGTCTTGCTCTTGCTCAGGCTGGTTTCGAACTCCTGACCTCGAGCAATCTGCCCGCCTCGGCCTCCCAGATAGCTAGGATTACAGGCGTGAGCCACCAGGCCTGGCCTCTTCATCATGTTTTAACAATAAATGAATTAAAATAATTATTCTTTCATTCTGCTGTGTGAACTTAGGAACAAATTACTTAACTCCTACTTCTCTCTCTTTCCTCAGGTATAAAATAGGATCAATAATAGTATCTACTTCATGGGGTATTTAAATAAGTATTAATAAAAATAAAGCCTTTCAAACAGTGCCCAGCACATAGTAAGCACTCAAAAAATATTTTCTTTTTTCTTTTTCTTAGACAGGGTCTCACTCTGTTGCCTGGTCTAGAATGCAGTGTTGTCATCATAGCTCACTGCCACCTTGAACTCCTGGGCTCCAGCGATCCTCCCATCTCAGCCTCCTGAGTAGCTGGGACCAATAGGTGTGTGCTACCACAGTTGGCTAATTTTTCTATTTTTTGTAGAGATGAGGTCTGACTATGTTGCTCAGGCTAGTCTCAAACTCCTGGGCTCAAGCAATCCCACTACCTTGGCCGCCCAAAGTGCTAGGATTACAGATGTGAGCCACTGCACCTGGCCCTATTTCTTTATAAAAACGAATCTAATTATTTGTCTTTTATATGTGTGACTGATTTAAACTAGGAAAAATTCTATTTCATAGTCCAATAAAATGTGAATACTGGTTTAAATAGTTATGAAGTAGTATTTATTTCAGTTGAGACTAATATATTAACAAAAAACTCAGGAGAATATTATTATTATTGTTGAGACAAAGTCTCCCTCTGCTGCCCAGACTGGAGTGCAGTGTTGCAATCACAGCTCACTGCAACCTTCAATTCCTGGGCTCAAGTGATCCTCCTGAGTAGGCAGGACTACAGGCGTATGCAACCATGCCCAGCTAAACTTTAAACAATTTTTTGTAAAGACAGGTTCTCTCAGTCTTGACCAGGCTGGTCTCGAACTCCTGGTCTCAAGTAATCCTCCCACCTCAGCCTCCCAAAGTCCTGGGATTACAGGCCTGAGCCTATAATCTGCACCTGGCTCAACTGCTCATTTTTCGGTGAAATGACTTTTCCTGTACTTTTATGATGGAAGGATGGGTTAAGATAGTTTTTCTATCTCCATGGCTCTAGATTCCCTTTTCTGTTATTTTCATAAAATGATAAAAAATACAACCTCATACTTTCTGAGATCTTCATTTCCTCTTCTTATATATCTGGACTTTTCTTCTTCCCTGTCCTGCTCAATTCTGAATCCACTCCCAGCTGTTTCTCCTTAGGGAAGGGCTTTGCTCTGCAAGGGCATTCCTGTTAGTTTTGAGAACTCGTAACTCTAGCAGTGCCAGGTCTTCCTCCATCACATCTCCCTCACTCTCCCTGTGGAATGGAGCTTGCAAAATCCCCTCCCAGTTTCTGCTGTTCTCAGAATTTTTCAGCAGTACTTGATGGGATTTTGGTGGTTTTTCTGGCTCTCAAGATCATGACCAGTTCCTTTGCCTTACCTTAACTTTTTCTAGTATAATTTTAAATACCCCGTAGGTCTTGCAGATAGATGCTGGTGGTTTGTTTCCCTCAGTTTGCATTTTGGACTTTGTGGGAAATCTTTCTTTCTATTCTTGTTTATGTCTTATTTGTGGCTTTAAAAATTTTGCTATCCTTTCTAGTTGGTCTATCATTTTATGAGGAGATTCAAAGTTCCCATTGCTATCACATTCCCAGAATCCTCTACTCACTGGATTAAAAAGATGCACTGACACATATTTTAAATAAAAAATGTTTTTAAGCCAGGTTAGGTGGCATGTGCCTATAATCCCAGGTATTCAGGAGGCTGATTGAAGGCTTGAGCCCAGGAATTCAATACCAGCCTGGGTAATATAAAAAAGTTTTTAGATTGCTTTATAAAAGGTGGTATTGATTCACATTTCCATCTATAATGTACCATAGTACCCCTACTTTTAATGGGGATATTTATGTTGTAAATATCAAAGGACATCTCATTATTACTTTAATTTGGTTTTCCCAACTTCTAGTAAGTTTGAACATCTTTTCAATTTGTTGGCTATTTTATTTTTATTGTTTTATTTCAGTGTCTTTCAGGGGTACAAACGTTTAGGTTACACATACTTCCTTTGCCCCACTCGAGTCAGGGCTTCAAGTGTATCCATCTTCCAGAAGGTGCACACTGCACCCATTAGGTGTGAATATACCCATCCTCTCCTCCCCACTCCCACCTGCCTGATACTGATGAATGTTACTGCTATATGTGCACATAAGTGTTGATCAGTTACTACCAATTTGATGGTGAGTACATGTGGTGCTTGTTTTTCCACTCTTGTGATACTTCACTTAGTAGAATGGGCTTCAGCTCTATCCAGGACAATACAAGAGGTACTAGATCACCATTGCTTTTTGTGGCTGAGTAGAACTCTATACACCACATTTTATTAATCTACTTATGTACTGATAGGCACTTGGGTTGTTTCCACATCTTTGCAATTGTGAATTGGGCTGCTATAAACATTCAAGTGCAGATGTCTTTTTTTAATTTGGGTAGATGCCCAGTAATGGGATTGCTGGATCAAATGTATCACTTTGAAGTATCTCCATATTACTTTCCACAGAGCTTGTACTAGTTTGCAGTCCCACTAGCAGTGTATGAGTGTTACTATCTCTCCACATCCACACCAACATTTATTGTTTCAGGATTTTTGATAAAAGCCAATCTCACTGAAGTAAAGTGATCTCTCAATGTGGTTTTGATTTGCATTTCCCTGATGATTAGAGATGTTGACCATTTTTTCATGTTTTTTGGCCATTAGTCTATCTTCTTTTGAAAAGTTTCTGTTTAACTCCTTTGCCCACTTTTTTTTAAAACTTTTATTTCAGGGTATTATAAGGGTACAAACATTTGGTTACTTTTTATGTATTTGCCTCACTCAAGCGAGGATTAGAGGCATGCCCTTCCCCTCTACAATGCTCACTGTGTTCTTTAGTTGTGAGTTTACCACCCCCATCCTCCTAATCCCCGGAGAATTTTACTACTGTGTGAGCACCATAGTGTTAATCAGTTAGTGCCAATTTGATGGAAAGTACATGTGGAGCCTAGTCTTCTGATCTTGTGATACCTCACTTCAGATAATGGGCTCAAGTTCAATCCAGGAAAATATAAGAGGTGCTAGCTAGATCACTGTCATTTCTTATAATTGAGTAATATTCCATTGTATACATATACCAAATTTTTATAATCCACTCATGAATTGACGGGCACTTGGGTTGTTTCCACATCCTTGCAATAGTGAATTGTGCTGCCATAAACATACAGGTGCAGATGTTTTTATCATAGAATATCTTTTGTTCTTTTGGGTAGATTGTTAGCTATTTTTACTCGTTCATTTGCTTATTCCTGGCTTTTAGCCAGTTTACTATTATTGCATAGTTTATTCTCTTGTTTATAAAAGCTATTGATGTATGCAGATATTAACCCTCTGTCCTCTGCTATGCATTTATTTCCTACTATATTGTTTGTTTACAGGGAGTGTATTAAAATTTCTAATCTATCTCTAATCTGCTTTTCTTCCTAAATTCTATCATTCTTGCTTTACATAGGTTACGGCTTTACAGTTAGGTCCATGTACAATCATGATCATTATTATTTTCTTTATCTATCATTCCCTTTATTAGTATACAATGTTCTCTTTTATGCCTTTTAATGTTTTTTACCTTAAATTCCAATTTGTAGTACATATTAGTGACCTCTACCTTCCCTTTTTCTCCTACCTTTCTATATACCTTTGCTTTAAGCCATGTAGCTCCCACCTGGTTCTCTTATTATGTTCACGCTGGGGGGAACCAGCTGCTATGTAAGAAGACTAAGATTGTCATGCTGGGGAGATCAGGAGTAGCTCATCAACAGCAGTAACTGCCTGTCATGGGAACTGAACAACCTTCCAGTTGGAATCTTCAGATAACTTCAGTTTCAGCTGATGTCTTACTACTGATACAACTACATGGAAGACACCTAATGAGAACTTCTCAGTTGAGCCCTTCCCAAATTCATACCCCAATAAATTGTGAGCATAAAAAAGGGTTGTTTTGATAAAAAGCTGTGCGTGCTTAAAGAAAATAACAAAAAAAAAAAAAAAAAAAAAAAGGGTTGTTTTAATCTATAAGATCTGAGACAATTTATTACACAACAAGAGTACTGTGTCACCATGTTTTCCTTTTGTCTCTTTTTCCTTTCTGGTTGCCATTGAATGGATAGCATTTCCTTCTACAGATTTGAAAGTTATACCTTTTTTTTGCTAATCTTCTATTTATTCTCTACAACCTAAGATCCATACTTATGCTTAATTTTCTTATTATCAATATTTTAAAAACATATTTACATACTATAAACATATGATTATAACTTTGAAGAAATCAATATCGAAAAAAATCAAAGCAAATACACTATTGCTTTCTAACTAGCTTGAGTACCTTAGGTGGAAAGCCAGTTGAACCAGGACATCCCTTTTTCCTTAAGGTTGGTGTGTGAACTGGAAGTGGAGTAGAGTCTACAATCTGAACCCAGGGACAAAAAAAGGAAATAAATGACATGAAACGCTCCATCTATTTCAAATATAACTCGAAAAATATGAAAGTAAATAAAATCAAACAAAACACAAATAAGGCAAAAAGTTCTACTAATTAAAAAAAACTCAATAAAGCTAAAATTCTCAGTGTTAATAATTAAAATTTCTGACTGCAATATCTACAAATGAAATATTTGTCCACTTACTAAAAATTATTTAAGTTTGTAAATTTATTTAGTAAAAATAAATAATTTGGAAAAGAAAATTCATGGAAGAAAACCCAAAAAAGTTATAGCATGTAGCCTACGTAAAAATGAGAATATTAATTTTCACATTCATCTGAATTTTCCATATTAATTCCAAAATGTATCTGAAAGAGTATTTTAGCAAGATTTATAGGAAAAATAGAAAATTATTTTAACTACTCAATTTCCATATATAGAACATGTATTACATATACAGAACACAGCTCTGTGGATTTGAATGCATAGCTATAAACATTGAGATTAGTAGGATTTTTATGCAGAAATTAATTTCCAAAGAAAGGAGTGAGATTATTTAATATTTTTGGAATTTTCAACTTAATACAAATTTAGTTAACAACCATATTTTTATTAGTTGGCTTTGTAAAACATAGAATTCTTTTATGGGGTATTATTGTAAGATTTTCCTTTGAATAAAAGGAACCAGTGATTTTATTGGACCTTATTGTGGGTAAATAGAGCCATTGCTTAATTAGCAAAGTATATAAAAAAAAAAAACCACGAAGAATAACCGCATTTTAGCATGCTAAGCAAGAAAATAACAGGAAAAAGTCCTGGTATAAGGTTACAGAATATTTTAAAGTATTAAGTGAAAAATGGATGGTCTCCTTTTGCCTTTGTTACTATATCACCACCAAAATTAGAATATTTTATATGCACTATAGCCTTAAAAAGGAATTCAGTTGAGTTTCTCAGAGTTTTCTGTTTAACTGTGACTTTAGTTCTAATTTAAATTTTATCTACTTTTAAACAGCTTGAAAAAGTTTTACACCCAATTTATAATTTAACATTTGAAAAGATAAATATGAAAAAGAGAACAATGAAAAGCTATATTAAAGTTAATAAAAAATAACAAGAAACAAAATTGTCATTAGAATTTACACAGAAAGTCCAAGAGAAGTTCTAAAAATTAAAAAGAGTCACGCAAAGGTGCTGGATACAAGATCAACAGAGTTTATATTGAAAGGATTCCACTCACCATAATAACAAAAAATTTAAGGTACTTAGGGACAAATTTAACAAGCAATATGGAACATACTAAAAATAATAAAACTTTACCAAAGGATGTAAAATACCTATCTAATATATACACCCTGTTTCATAGATGGAAATACCAAATATCATGAAGATGTCAATTCTCCTCAAATAAATCTATAAATTCAATGCAATTCCAATCAAAAGTCCCACAAGGAATTCGATAAGCTGACCCTAAAAGTAACTGAAAAATAAAGGATCACGAAGAAATGGAAGAAGAATAAGGTGGGTCAGGATGGCTCACCACTCCAGGTATCAGGAATTATTTCAGAGCTACAGCAATTAAGACGATTTGGTATCAGGGAAAGAATAACAAAAAGAACAATGGAAGAGGATAGAGAACTCCCAAGCAGACCCATGCATATAAAGCAGAGACAGCATTACAAATCAATGTGGAGGGAGTCAGTTGTTTATATGGGAAAAAGAGATTAGAACTCCATTTCCCATTATATATAACAATACATTTCAGTTTGATTAAGGTCCTAAACATGTCAAAACAAAAACTTAAAACTTTTAGAAGAGAATACGAAAGAAAATCTTTATAATTTCTGCACAGGGAAGAACTGCTTTAAAAGACATAAAAAGCACAAGTCATAAAGGAAAAGACTGATAAATCTGACTACTTTAAAATCAAAACTTTCACAAGACAAAAAGATACCAAAAATAAAATTTAAAAATAAGCCACAGACTGGAAGAAAATATTTGCAATGCATATAGCTAGCAAAGAATTAGCATCCAGAATATATAAAGAACACTTAAAACACAGGAAAAATAATTCAATAGAACAATGAACAAAGGACATGAACAGGCAAATTATCATCAATAAACACATAAAAAAGATGCTGAATAACACTAGAAATGCAAGTTAAAACAAAAATTTCACTTCATATCCATCAAATTGGCAGACGTTAATGTCTGACAATACTAAAGGTTGACAAGGATGTGGGGAAAAGGAGGAACTTTCATACACTGCTGGTAAGAGTAAAAATTGGTCCAAACACTGCAAAAACAATTTGGCAAGATTTGGTTAAAGTTGAGGATGCATGTATCACCTAACCCAGTAATTCCACTTCTAAGTATATATGCTAAACTAACTCTACATATCTGCAAAAGTAGGATGTTCACTTCAGCATTGATTGTAATACCAAAAAATTGGAAATCTAAATATCCAACCATAGGAGAACAGATAAATAGTTGTGGTGTATTCATACAATGTAAGATTATGCAGCAGTTATTATGAATGAACTTAATGAACACGTATCTGTATGAATAAATCTCAAAATCATACTTTTGAGTGCAAAAAGTTACAGAAGGATACAGGTAACATTTGCGTAAATTTTAAATACACTATAAGCATCATCATCTATAATTTATGGATACAAATGAAATAAATATGTAAAACCAAGGAAGGAAAGGTGAACATCAGCTTTAGGACAGTTAGATATGTCTGGGAAAGTAGAGAGGGGAATGGTATATGGGAGGCTGTTTCTGGAATATTTTCTTTGAATAAAAATCTGAAAAAAAGGGGAAAATGTTCACATCTGCTAAATCTGTGGGTGATAGTTACATGGGTATATATCATATTCTCTGTATGCTTGAAATATTTTATCATCAAAATATAAAATGTAGAAAGCAAAAATATTAAGAATTATAATTTAAAAACCAGACGGACTCATTAACTTAGCCCATTTGAAAGTCTATGCCAGGGTTGGAAAAAACAAGTCAGAATCTGACTAAAACTCACACTTCACTTCAGAGAGCTTTTCAGACTGAACTATCCACTTCTACTGGAATGTCAGACACAGTTCTAGAGATTAAAAAATGAAAGAAGAGGAGCTCTATCTGAATTGTCATGCTGCGTGAAGAACCAGAACTGCACCTTGAAGCAAGATGGCATGCACTGAGGTACAACACTCCTCTAACTTGTAGAGGAAATGATCCCTCTTGAGAAAACCGACCTGTTGGATTGATATGAAGTGTAAACACAACATAGTTATTTAAATTATTAAAAGGCATGATTTAGTTGAATGCCAGTTGCTGATTCAGCAGTTAAACTATTCAGTTGCCAACAGTGGCGATTTTATTTTTTAGCTCTATTTATGATGTCACAGATTAGTTATATCATGGCTTGTTAAATTTATTTTTTTTATTTTTATTTTTTTTGAGACAGAGTCTCGCTTTATTGCCCAGGCTACAGTGAGTGCCGTGGCGTCAGCCTAGCTCACAGCAACCTCAAACTCCTGGCTCAAGCAATCCTCCTGCCTCAGCCTCCCAAGTAGCTGGGACTACAGGCATTCGCCACCATGCCCGGCTAATTTTTTGTATATATATTAGGTGGCCAATTAATTTCTTTCTATTTATAGTAGAGACGGGGTCTCGCTCCTGCTCAGGCTGGTTTCGAACTCCTGACCTTGAGCAATCCGCCCGCCTCGGCCTCCCAGAGAGCTAGGATTACAGGCGTGAGCCACCGCGCCCGGCCTAAATTTATTAATAGAATTAAAATATGAGAATGACACCTGTACTGCCAAGTGCCTACAAAGTTTGCATATAATTCCAAAATTCAAATTACTTTATCCTCTGTTCTACACAGTTCTCTAATTAAAATAAAGACTGCCTTTATATTTTTTTGTCTACTTCAGTTTTCTACTTCTATCTATATTATCGGTTAAATGTAGTGATTTCAATAGACTAACTTATTATACAACATATTTATTTGACTAAAAGAAGACAGATTTCACTTGTTATTTTCAATTCCCTCTTTCCTGACACAAGTGAAAAGTTGGGGAGCAATGCTGCTCCAATGAGGCACCTTAACTGGCTCAGCTTCACTAGATGTGGAAGGAGATGTGGACCTTGACTGGATGTAAAACTTGACGCTCGAGTTCCGTACATATGTGTTCTCAACGGGATCAGTCTAGGAAAATAAGTCAGGAAACACAAAAACCCAAGAAATCACTTTTAAACAATGTGCAGCTTGCAGTAAATTTTGTAAGGCATGATCATGACAACATTTCTTAAGAAAGAAGGATGACAAACTATAGTTTGAATATTCACATTGGGAAGTGTCATTACACAAAAGCATAACCATTAGCTTTAAAGTAAACAAGGGTTAAGACAACAATACTGAACCAAAGCCTCCTTCCCGATCTTCACTGATCCCCAAACTTGGAGCATGTCATCTCTACTCCATGTTCTATATTTGTATTCCACATGGAACTTTTGTCTTTCACAAAATAAGTTGTATTTGTGAAATACATGCAATATATTTAATACTTAATAGAGATATACACTACAGATAAGAGATAATTTTGTCCTTGATAATAATAAAATTTGGTATCTTACTAGTCATTTATTGAAAGCAAAAGAAACTACCTGTCAGCTTCATGCTGGTCACTAAAGTAAATCTCCTTTTTATTTTGCAGCAGTAGAAACACCAGCACTTACATCCATCCAGGTGCACTCTTTTAAGCCAAGTATGTTTAGAAATTAAAAATGTTTTGGGTTAAAATTTAGCATAAAAAATCTGATTGACTTTTCAGTTTGGCAATTTTCAAAATTACTAGGATTGAGTTTTTAAAATGAAAGGGCAATGAACACAATTTGGAAAAGAGGTTAGGGGAATTGTTTTGAATATGGTGTACAGCAAGAACAATACTTAGATCAGAAGTTACAAATCAATAAAAAGGGCATCAGCTTAAGGATTTTAAATATGAACTTAAAATTTTCCTTTATTATTATGATTACTATTTTAGATGGAAGACACGATGACAATAGATAATGTACCTCTTAGAACTATCAAGAAGAAAAGATTCAGGTACAGTCATGAGAATGTTTTGACAAAGTAGAATTATTTGAACAACTGATTAAAATATTAATGGCCCTTGTACCCTTGTACTCAAAACTAAATGAACAAACAAAATCTCTTTAAAATTCTGGGCTGAATAAATAAATGATTGGGAATAGAAACACTTGGAAACAAAAGGCTTCCCTAGAAATTAACTTCTCAGCTCTGTTTTCATCTCAACAGAACTCTGGGTACATGGCTTCAATCTCTAAAGGTACAAATTACTTTCTCAACTTAGGGATATTTCCCATCTATAAATAATGTATACTGTTATGGATTTATGATACGTTACATATGTAGAAAACAGTCAACTTCTGTTCAATATGGAAAATTTAAAAAATCTGACAGATGTGTGGGAGGGACAAGCTAATAGGCTGCAAACACTCTGGTAGTCCTCTACTGGTGCCCAACTATGACCTCCCAAGATGGTGAGCATGGACAGGTATTCTGGCAACCCAATAACAAGGCTTTGGTGGAGCTGACCAACATGGCCACCACCAGGCCTTACCCTTTATATTTTTAGATTTTGGAGAAGTGAGGAAGAGGAGTCTCAATGAGAGAATCTAGGGGACTTGGAGCAGCAATGATTTACTGCTAGGAAAGTACTTCAACATTTTAAAAACTAGAACTAATGAACTAAAGCTTACCAGCTGAATAACAGCTCTGTATGTATGATGTGGTTGATTTCATAAAACTACTATACCTTGTGAAGCTGGAGAGCCAGGCCTGAATCCCACCTCTTGCCTCCAAATTCAAAACTCTTTTTTATTTTACACAGGCATCTCCACAGCAGAGGTACTCGAAGTAATTTAACAATCATAGAGACTGAGTTATATTATCTCATTTCCTGACAGGGAATTTTGTTTTTTGTTTTTTTTTAGTGTGTGTTAGTTTTATTGTAACAAAGTTACTTGTACACTTTTAACATCTAAAACTGAGCATCATCTTTCCAGTGAAACAAAAAGAAAATTTAAACATAAACAGGAACAAAATCACAATAGAGAACATCAATTCCAAATAAGATCCTATAAGTTCTGCTGATTCTTCCCATCAAGGGGCAGGGCTCAAGTCATCACTAGGAGAAATTTTTTTTAAATGTGTCATCTTAAACTGCAAGGATGTCCATTAAACATCACAATTAAATATACCAAAGGAGAAGCCACGCTGACAGTAAATTTTGACTAGAAAGAGGAGACTAAAAGAAGAAAACAGGACTCAAGACAAATTTGCCATTTCACATTTTATTCAGGGGCAGCCGTGGAGAAGGTAACCAGTTTAAATTATTAATCTGAAACATGATCCTGGGTTGAGAATAAGGCAGAAATGTCTTTTATCTTCTAAAAATCTCCTCCTCCTAGTTTCTATAAGATTATATAAATATTGTAAGGTGAATTAAGAATCATGGGGGAGGGGGTTCAGTTAAAATGGAACTGATAAGCAAAGCGAACTGATACATTTTGCACTAGTAAGAACTTAAAACTGAGTGTCCAAGTAGAGGATTTTCTATGTGTAAAAAACTGGGCCATTTTCAGAAAATGTAAAAGTTTCTGACCTGTCACAAAAGCCATTAGCCCTGTAGCTTGACTGAAACACATAAAATCAGAAGTTCCTGTGTGAAAGGTAAAACTGTGAATAGGACTGAATAGTTAATATACTGGCTTTGTATCTGGGTCCACTTACTTTAAAAACTTTTTAAAAATGAGAAACACAATAACTTGCTGTTTCTAATAGTACTGGTTGGAATTTTACAGCAGGCCTGCTCTTTGAGCCATGTAAGCACATGGTGACAAAAATTGAGCATACTGTTTTGATACTGTTTTTGCACTGAAATTAGAATATGCTACCTTAAGCCATTTTGTCAGTACAAGGTCTAATGGGATGTTTACAACATGAAACTGGCAAATCTAAAAAGCAGGGCTTCTTCCCCCAGCCCCAGAAATGGTTGTTAAAACATTTACCAACATGTTCTAGGCCCTTCTGAAAATGTGAAATTATGACAGTGCAATATTGGGTAAAGGAAAAATATACCATCAGTTTCATCTGTGATTACAGACATTAGCGACTCAAATAACTCTTGAGGTTTTAATACACACCTCTTGGCTCTCCTGAAGAATCACTGTTTTTATTAAAGTCTAACAGACCTAACTAGTGTTTACCCATCAATAAAAATGAGAGAAAATAATAGAAATGCAGATAGATTTTAAAATAATTTTCTTAATTGAATGAGGTAAAAAGTAGTTATTCAAAAGCAGAAAATATTTCAATAAAAAAGATAAACCAACACTAATTGTAAAAATAGAATGAAAATGACCATACTAGCTTTTTAGAGCTGTATGCTCTTAAAGTAAAAATCAATTTGAAAGATTAAACAAAATCAAGTTAGTTTCCTTTTAAAAAACTAAAAATAAGTAAAAATAATAGGATAATATTGAGATGGTATTAACTGAACAGATTAAAAAGTTGAACTATGCCATTTATAACAATACTCTGACTTTTAATTTTAAAAACCCACCATGAATATATAATTGAGGTTTTAAAATTACCACTTTACTTTCCAAGTGTGTTTCTCATAGAGACAAAGAACAAAGCTTAGTAAAGATGAGTTAGAGCAAAAAAAGTTTTAAATACCAAACTGAGAAAAAATTTCTCAGGTCTTTTAAAAGACTCTACTAGAAGCTAATAGCTAATAATATCAATAGGTTTTAATATTTCATTTCCTTTCTAGATTACTGCCAGTGTAAACGATATCTCAAAAGTGGTATAACAATTAAAAAAATATAGTTTCACATACTTTCTTTATCAAAGTTTTAATTATCACCAGATTATGCTTTTCAAGATGTTATTAATTTTAACTATAATTAAGTGCTTAACAATGCATTTATAATTAATAGCTTATTACATTAACTAAGCAGCAATTGTATTAAACTTTCAGTAAATATTCAATGACTACATTAGGATTTAAAGATATAGACTAAAACTCATTTTAATAATTAATTGGCAATCATTCAGATATCATATGGCAGCAAAGCAATTGATTAATATCACTAGTTATTTTTCTACAAAGTAGTTAAAATCTTAAAAACAAATATAGTCATTAATAGTATATTTAAATTATGGAAATTAAATTTTTGTGTCATTCTTTGCATGTTAAAACAGTATAGCATTAAGTATAAGCAATGAATTGAATTAATAATGCAGCAAAAGCTAATAAATATGATATACATCAATAGTAGAGATATTTTAATTCCATAATTAGATTTATGATTGAAAGCATAAAAAAGAAGAAACAGTAACAGGCAATAAATTGCTAATATTTATTGGACAGTATATTTTGATGTTGTCTAAAGAAGGACCTTGGAAACAAATTTTATCTGAACAGTGTAAGCAATTCACTCAATACTTCTAAGCTGCAATCCACTGAGAAAAATAAAGAAATCTTTATGTAAATGCAACTTAAAAAATGTTTTGGTTAACTAATTTTTTTCCTATGTAAACATACTTTAAGGAGTTATTCTGAGGAATATGCATTAGAAACATCTATTATACTCCAGTATCTGTTTTTACTTAATGATCTATTGTCTAAAAAAAAGCAGAAAAGTTGAATATCAGCAGTATTGTTTACACTGCATAAACAGTTATACAAAAAGTCCATAATGCTTCCTAAATCTATTATGATTTTTCTAATAAATGATTCTCAAATGTATTCTTAAAGTAGTACATAAAAATAGAAAGGTTTTTTTTTCTTTCTTTTCAAGATCAGGCAACTGTCTGATTTTTAGATGCCTCACTTATCAAGAATTTCTCAAATTATGAGTATGGTCTTCCTAATAAATAAAAAAACCTAAAACTACTCATCTTGAATATGTACCAAGGGGCCTTTTCTATCCCCAAAATAATTACAGATTTGTACAATTAGCAACATTCTCATAAGAAACTTGGTTTTAAAGTAAAAGATAGAAAGATATGATATGAATTATAAAGTTGACCTATCAAAAAATAGCTTACATCTAACATGTTGTTTATTGGTAAATATAAAACTAAGTCAACTGAAAAATATCCAGTTTTTATTAATTATTTTTATCCTTTACCTAGAAGTATTCTGGACACAAAGTGACAAGTAATCTAATATTTTGTATTCAGAACACTTATAACCTCAAATCTTTGGTGAAACAATTATTTCTGTTAATTGAGCTACTGATTAAAAAACCAGTATTACAAAAGTACTATATCATTAGGAAAACAGTAAATATAATATTTTGTCACTCTAAAACAAATCATTACAACAAATTAATGAAAGTTATGACTACTAAGTGTAATCTGACTAGTTATAAATAACTTATTTCTCTTTATGAAAATTTCTTCTCAAGTTATTTTCAATATATTGATTTGAACATCTACTCTAGAGAATTTATAAATGTTCTACAAAAACGAATGTTAACCCACATGTTGGCTATTTATTAATATAATCTCTGCTCCAAACTCTAAAGGAACAAACTGAAATGAAACATTCAGTATTTCTCACTAATAATGAAATCGCTATGGAACTCTCCTTAACCATTTATATTCAGACATTAATAATACTATTAATAACAAATTTTTCTTATACTATGCTTCATTATAAAGAACATAAGTTTTCAAACTGTAAATGAGGCTTAATAGCATATTAGAAACAAGAATATGAGAAACATAATATAGTAATACTACCTCATTCATACGACATTTCACAGTTACTTATAATTTTTTTTTTTTTTTGAGACAGGGTTTCATTCTGTCACCTAGGCTGGAGTGCAGTGGTGCAATCACAGCTCACTGTAACCTTGAACTCCTGGGAGCAAGTGATCCTCTTGCTCCAGCCTCCCCAAGTGCTGGGATTAAAGGTGTGAGCCACCACGCCCAATCATAAAAGTACTGCATAATTTCTTGTCTAAAAACATGGCATATAACATAAAATCCTATGCTACTATTAGATTCAAGGTCACTGTTAGGAATGGTTAACTATTTGTGTCTACTGAAATACACTGATGTCCAGGGACTACGGGGGTTTCTCACTAATCCACTGAGATATTTCTATTTAGCTGCTGAATAATTTATAATTCTTTAATCATCTCCTTCATAGGCACTGCCACTTTTCAGTGGTTGACTTTTTATTTGTCAGATACTTAATCAAGGAAAAACTGAAGGCAGCCAGGAAAGCAGATAATCAAGCCTATCACATCTGCATGTTAAAAAGTTTTGTAATTATAAGTCAACAGATTCTGGTTAATCGTGGCTTATTCATATCCTACAGAATAAAGATATAGAATTAAGAGTAGGGACCCTATAACAGTTACTTCCTTCAAAAATTTTTCCTTATTTCAAGATTCAAAGAAATGCTCTATGTGGCCATGGCCCCAGAAGTCTGCAAGGCAAGTGAGATATAACTAATCCATAATAAAATTAATCAGAAAAAAAAATCTCTCTAAATTATAACCTTATTAAAAAACAAGCAGTTAAAAATTTAGTCAATTAACAGGCTGATGATTTGAATCTAATATAATAGGGCATACAACATTTTGGTCTTCTTTTCTAGAGGTTATATAATTTATACTCAGATTAATTTAATAAATCCAAATACCTAATGGCTTTAACTCTCTACAAATATCAAAGTAACCAAGAAGTCAATTGAACTGGCAATCTTTTAATAAACTTCAATAATTAATGACATCTCAGTTGAACTCAGAATGATAAGGCCACCCTACAACTTCCCACGTTCTCCATAAACCAGAGAATTCCCTGATCCAGAACTTCTGAAGTCCAAGAATCCTGGATTTAAGGTACTGATCAATATCAATGACCATGAAGCTGACAGGTGAACATTAAAAACTTGTATCTATCACTACTTTTTTTTTTCTTTTCTTTTTTTTGGAGTCAGTGTCTCTCTCTGTTGCCCAGGCTGGAGTGCCATGGTGCAATCATAGCTCTCTACAGCCCAGAACTCCTTGGCTCCTCCCACCTCAGCCTCCCAAGTAGCTAGGAATACAGGTCCATGCCACCATGCCTGGCTAGGTTTTTGTTTTTTGGGGGGTAGAGATGAGGTCTTGCTGTGTTGTCCAGGCTAGTTTTGAACTCCTGGCCTCAAGTGATCCTCCTGCTTCAGCCTCCCAAACTGCTGGCATTATAGGTGGGAGCCACAACACCCAGCCTGCTTTCCCCTTTCCAATGTTACTATGAAAATCCCAACAAACAATATCAGCTAGTCTATCGCTTTCAAACTGGAGATTATGTATGTATATACATGACTGGTGTTGGGATGAAGGGTGGTTTAGAAAAATGTAAGACTTTTCCACATATAGATTCTCCACTTTAGGCATATCAGAATCTTGTAGCATAGGGATAATGGTGGACCCATTTCAGGGTAAAAAACAAGAAGCTAGCATTATCACTGGAAGATGTTTATAGTTTGTTAATAATAAATATATAAAGGCTGTTATACATATTTTTTAAATCTTAGAATACAAAGTATTTATTATTAACATCTCCTCAAATCTACACATATAAGATATTTAGGGAGATTCCTTTAAACTACATTTTAAAAAAACAAACCCTCTCAAGATTTTTCCAGAACTGATTTACATAAAACTGTAGTCAATAAGATCTATAATTTATCCCAAATCTTTTAAACATTTCGTACAATATGAATTATCAAGTTTTCTTTACACATAATTAAAATTGCTAAGAAATATTTATATATTTATTTATTTGTTTATATCATATTCTTATTTGGAAACTCATTTACTTTGTATTTGATCAATTTAGAAAGCATAATTTAGGATTACTTTGTTCCCCCAATCAAAAAAAAGATATCATTTTAGTAGTTTGGTTACAGAAATTTATATGAACATTCCTAAAGCTTTGCGGCCAAAGCCAAAAAACCAAAAAATAAAAGAAAATACATAAAAGCATAGTAGCAATAGCAGGAGCAGCAGCACAAAGCATGCAGTAAATGTAATAATATATCACAAAAACATTAACATATTCTGCAACCGCAGGCAAAAGGATAAGAGATAGGGGTAGAAGGCATCAGGATGGACACACAAAGTGCAATAGTCTCTTACACGTCTGCCTTTGCTAGCTGGAGCACAGGATGGAGAGCGCTTCAACAAAGAAAGAATACTACATGTTACAAATATTTACACACATAAGACTCTCAGTGACCACTTGTATATTCACAGACAAAATATATAAACATACATATAAAGCCACATTTTCAGATAGCTTGAAAGTACATACATTTTCAGGAAAAACTGGAGGAAAGGACAGTAAAGAAACAATCGTTCAGATTAGGTTTAAGGTGAATGATAAACTTTTCATTGGCCCATGTACAAAAACGGTGACCCACAAAATAATCCTCCATCAAGTGATGGACAATTTCTTTTCCTGAAAGGTTGGCAGTGGCAGATTGAAACATATGAGAACAAAAAGGATCTAGATAATTCTGATTTAGTACTGGCAAGGATTTAATAAGATACTTAATTAAGTAGCCTTGTTTTAGACATTTATCTACCAAATTCTTACTCTTTTCAAGGATGATTCTTTTAAATGATAAGACTAAATATGACTTCAGAATTAATGACAGTGGATTAAAACAAAAACACAGTTACTTGAACAATACTGTCTATCCTGACTAGACATTAGGCTTAGTCAAAGGAGGGACCTTCACCTTTTTGACATTAAAAAATTAATTAGAAAAAGTAACAATTATATTAAATACTTTTCAAGTTTCTGAAACTTTATGATGCTCAAGAACTTCACAAATATAAACCACATTTAGGCAATTTTCTATATTTAATCCAACCTAATATTTACTGAGAGTTTACAATATGTCAGGTACTATGCAGACATTACAAGGGACTGAAAGATAAATAAAGCAGGGCAGTTCACAGACTGGTAGAGAAGACAGAATGTCAGCAACAATGTAATAAATGCTATCATAGAGATAGGTACAAGGTTTGTATGGGAACCGAGAGGAGGGATGTACAAGATTTTCATGAGGGCCTACAGAAGGGAATTTATACACTGGGTCTACAGAAGTTAGAAAAAAGTTAAGAGAAAAGTGAAAAGTTCAAGTACAAGAAACATCACTCAGTATTATGTTTTTTGGGTTTTTTTTAGACAGAGTCTCACTCTGTCATCCAGGCTAGAGTGAGTGCCGTGGCATCAGCCTAGCTCACAGCAACCTCAAACTCCTGGGCTCAAGCAATGCTCTTGCCTCAGCCTCCCGAGTAGCTGGGACTACAGGCATGCACACCCAGCTTGTTTTTACTATTTTTAGTAGAGACAGGGTCTCACTCTTGCTCAGGCTGGTCTCAAACTCCTGAGCTCAAGGGATCCTCTAACCTTGACCTTCCACAGTGCTAGGATTACAGGCATGAACCACCGCACCCAGCCTCAATATTATGTTTTATTGTTACAATAACTCTGGCAGAGAGGTAAATAGGAACTATTATTTCTTTATATAAGAAACTGGAATAGAAGGTGACCTGAACACTGTATCCCCAAGAGTTAAGAGCAAACTAGCATTAGAAGGCCTTTAGATTTCGAAACAAACTTTTCCATATAGAAGCTAAAGTCTCAGGTCCAAACCTGGTTGATTTTCCTTAGTTATTAATAGGAAGATCTTTCTTGTTCCTTCTTGTCTCCAAAACCAAAAAAAACAAATAATAAATCAACCCCCAACCCTTCCTCTAGCTATCATTTAATCTCTCTCCTCTCTTTCTTACTGATTATAGTAGTTAACAATTATTGTGTCTGAGTATACGTAGGTACTTTCCAAAGTGCTTTACATATATAAACTCTTTTAATTCTTATAGAAACCCTAAAATGTAGGTATTATGATCCCCATTTTAAAGTTGAAGAAAACAGATTAACTTGCCTAAGGTCATAAAACTGGTAAGTGGTGGAGGCAGAATTCAAACCTTCTCAGCCAGACTCCTGAATAATGGTATACAATCACTGTCTGTGCTTCCTAACCTCCTGCTTCACTTCTCAATACAATCCAATCTGGATTCTGCTTTGATCATTCTGATGCTAAGATCAGTATTTCCTATTTATCCTATCTGACCAGTCATCTCTGCTATACGCGACACTGCTTCCCATTCTCCTCCTTAGAACCCTCTACCTTAGTTTTTGTGACACATAATTTCCTTAGTAACCTCATTCCTTGCAGTCATCACTACAACTCTTTTGCAAGGTCCTATTCCTTTCCCTGCTCTTCCATCCTGAGATCCCAGGTTGCTGTTCTTGGCATGCTGCTTTTCTCATGCTACAATCTTCTCCCCAGGGAATCCCATCCACTTTCAACTACGCTGATCATTTCCAAATCTCTACTGCCAGTTCACTTCTCTTCCTTAAGCTTTTGACTCATTATCTGACTGTCTGCTGGACGTGTCCACATGGATGTCCCTCAGGGATCTCAAATATAACTTGTCCAAAACGAAAAATTTCCTTCTGTTAAATCTTTTAATAATTATTATGTATGAGACTGATTAAATGTGAACTCCATAATATAAAGTCATCCTTATTCTGGCCCTTGCCTATGTTTTCACACTCATTTCTCAACAATAACTCCACATCCCTTTTGCTTTCAGCAACCTAAAATGAATTCTCTCTCTGTCCTCCCCTCCCTCTCTCCCCCTGGCACACCTACTATACTCTGCCTGCCTAGAATATACTCCTTTCATGTAGTTGCCCTTTTACTTTGCTAACCATACTCATTTGTGAAAACCCAGCTAAGGCATTATTTCTTTTAGAAAGCTTTTCTAGATCCTCTTGGTTTAGTTAGAGATCTCTCTCCTTTGTACTCCTGTAATATACAGTCCGTATCTTTTATTATTGTACTTCCCACATAGTGTTATAGTTATCTGTTTATATAGGTGTCTTTTCCACTAGACTGTCAGATTCTTAAGGGCAGGAAATATTGTAGTATGCTTAGCATAAAGCCTATAAATTTTAAAATTCTCAATAAATATTAAATGAATCCTTCTGAACTTCCATAGGACTTAATCTAGGTATTTCTCATTTATTGATTTCCACTTTGTATAGTTCTTAACTATTTAATTATTTTTTCTAATAAAATAAGCATTTTGAGTTCTAGTTCTACATGTGCTTTATATCTTTGTATCCACCACTGTGCATAGTATAGTACTATACATATAAAAAGTGCTAAAGTGTTTAACATAAAGAAACCTTTACTTTTTGGCTATCCCTACTTCTAGACTAGAGTCTAAAGTATGCTAAAATCATGAAAAAGAGCATCACTACCTTAAAGTAAACATAATATCACTATATTAAAAACAAGTCAAAATATCTCCCCAAATTATTTTGAATATGAAGGACAACATATGTTCTAAGCTGGCACTGTTTAAAGCTACTAATGATACTAAATCACCACAGCAATAATCTTTTACCAAAGTGTTTACCTAGAAATCAGACAACTATTTTTATGTTTTTAATAAAAAAGGGTAAATTATATTCTTTCCTGAAATACAATTAGAGGAAAACATTCTATCTCTTTCTCTTTCTCATACAAACTCACACACACCATGGTTTTCTATAAAGACTGAAATTGGATTCATGGTAAACTGTAAACCAGTACCTCATCTTAATGTGTAATCATATACTATTTTAAAACATGTATTTTATATCTAGGCCTAAGAATTGCCACCAGAACTTTAAGGCTGAATATGGAGGTAAAGCACAGAAGCAGAGACCAAAAGAAATCATCTTAAGGGTAGATAACTGATTTAATAGCTTTTAAGGTTCAGTTAATGAATCCCAGAGGTCTTTAATACAATACCAAAGAGGTAAGAGATAGACTATGTAGTCATGGTCCTTTCTCTCTAGATTGCCTAAATATATTGTTAGATCATATATAATATACGACAAAATATATTATATACACAATTATATACAATATAATGTATTGCCCTAAATTGAGAAGGACTGCATATGATAACTCTCTGAAATATGAGATCTTCAAGTAGGTTTATACTGAATATGTGGGTGGAAGTTTTAAAACAAGAATTGAGGGAGGAAATTTCAAGAATGCCATAATTTCTCAGAAGAAGGTAGGCCTGATTTTAGTAATAGGATTAAAAATCTTTACAATGTATGTTTTAAATTTCTGTCTCCTACCTATTCTCACACATGATTAACCTTGTCCAGGTATAGATAAAACTATGCTGCCGAGCCTCAGATTTCTGGGATTGCTTATGACAGAACGTGGAAGAAGCTGGGTGAGAAAACAATGTTAAAATCAACAGATGAATGACAGAAGCTAGGAACCATGAAAAATTAATTAAATATTTTGGAATATCTTAGTATGATTTTATATGAGGTTAAAACCAAGTCTAGAACTCAGCCTGCCAATACTCTCAGACTACCTTCTACTCTTATATGCTAGAATACAGGAAAGGAAAACAGTATTAGGAACACCAGTCAGGCTACAGATACTACCTCTATTCCTTTATATTCCAGAGCTTTAATTCCTTGATTTACTCTTTCCTCAGTATACCAGAGTCAGACAACTTAAAAAAAAACAAGTTGAATACATTCCCATTTGCCAGGCAAGTGGCGATTTCTGTTTTTATGAACTCAGACTAAATGAACAGAGTGTAGAACTGTAACTTAATAAAACTCAAAACTTACCTAGCATATATTTCATAGATGACAACATGTTTATCAAATATAAAGAGCAAATAGCTCACTGACTTATATGGGAGAAATAAATACAACTGCAATTATTATTACCTTTAATACAGTCAAGCTAACCATTATTTGACTTGACTGAAAAGAAAAAGATGAACTGAACGGAGTAGGAAGTTGCTATAAGCTTGGGGAGACAGTCTGGATCTGGTCCACTAGGATCAAGGGAAGACATCAGGGAGAGAAATGAGAAAATCCAAGCTGCTGAACTCCATTTGCCCCTCACCCAGCTTGTTACCTAGAGAATGAGGCTGGGCCTAATATGGGCTAATAATAGACAGTCCAGGATTGGACATATGGGGCTGAGGGAAAAGATGAGAGTAGAAGAAGAAGTATTTTCCGCAGCTAAAAGGGATCTTGGTATTTGTTTTACTGCTTTCTTAATACCTCATATGGGAGTGCCTTACCCAAGAAACCACTTAGAAAGTGGTCTCAATTTCTTATAAAATTAACTCAAACTCTTCTTTATCTGTCCTAAAGAATGCTATGCATAACCATTTATCACCACACTTCCCTATTCTCCTAAAGACTGAGAACCCTAAAAAGTCACTCTTATTAATCGGAGAGTAATCTATTCATTCTTACTAATAGGAGAGTGCTGTGATAAATAATGGTTAAAATCACTGAACTAAATATTCTCTAAGGTACTTTTCTCCTTTAAAAGTCTATGATTCCACATGTAGATAAGCCCAAATGCCTACATCCTTACAGAAGCAGAATGTGTTGAAGAAATATTCTGTTCTGCCTGATTGCCTCCTCTCATTTTCCAAGAGGAAAGGAAGTGCCTGGTATTACATACACTCCTTCTCCTCTGTCAAAGCTACTCTTACACACAGAGGATTGACTGAATAGTGTGACTTAAAATGAAAGCATCTTGATCTGAACATATTCACGCACTGCCAAAATCCCAGCATTCATTTGAATTTTGAATTAACACACAAAACATGCTGAGGAAAAATTAAGGGTGGAAGAGTGATTATGTGTACTGTTTTAAGTAAAAGAATTATGGTTTTAATAGGCCTGAGTGGGTAGGTAAAAGTAGAAGGAGAACATCAGAACGTAATTTTAAAGACAATGGGCAGGGATGGTAAAGTTCTGACAAATCAGAGGACTGGGCTCTTGAGGGCAGATCGGAGATGCAGACTCCAAAGGAAACTTGATTTCTGTAATTTTGCTTAACACTAGCATTCTTCCCTCCTATACCTACAGTTCTAGCTGCAATTCAAATTTCAGGTCTTCAACATAATCTTTTCTACAGCAGTGAGATAGAAAACAAACAAACAAACTAACCAGAAGCATGTGTATTATGAATTACTGCCTACTTACTACAGAGGGCTGTCACATATTATGAACATCATACACAGTATAACTAGATTTGCCACAGAGAACAATCAAGATTTGATTTGTCCCTTAAGGATCCAAATGCTTAACAGAAAGGGAGCTACAGAAGAACTTGAGTTTTATAAGTTTTAAATATCTTGGATGCTGAACTCAAGCATGGTAAACAATTGAATACCACTGTTCAAAATGCCATTCCATTAGAACTCTGAGGATAAGATAAATGAATGATAACTCTGGGAGGGGTGATCACAGTTAAAAACTACAAAGAGAAACAGGTTTATGCCATAAAATATAAATTAATATAAAATATTTTCCAAATGTGAGCTTACTGCTGGCCTTCACCTGACTGACAAAAATCATTTTCCAACGGTTATTCATTTCACAACGGTAATTGTGAAGGAAAGCAGAGTGGTTCATACTGGTGGCGGGTGGAAGGCTTGAGTGATGAAGAAAGCACTTAAGTGAAATGGAATTGACGGACAAGAAAGGAAGCTAAAGGAATACAGAAAGGGAGGGAACCAGCTTACTGAGAATAAGGGAATAATAACCAGTATTCGGCAGCTTTTGTGAACTCAACTCCTTTTTACTTTATAGTAGGAGTTCCTTTGTACTGCTATAAAATTTAGCTGTATGTTCGCTTTGAGCTTATGCTGCATAATGGTGGGTGAAGGATGAGAAAGTATACTCCCGGAGGAAAATTAACAGTGGGAAATGGCTGTGACTCGGGCGCTCAGGCATTATAGCCAGGTGGTGCCAGTGGCAGAGTGCCTCGGAGAGCAAAAACAGGCCAGGGACCTGGGTGAGGTGTGCATTCCCGTAGGGTTTTCTGCCGAGAAGAGCTTATTTATCTGCCATAATACATACTGTTCCTAGTTATATAATCAAAGATTTTTTTTTTTTTTTTTGTGGGAGGAAAGGGGATGGAGAAAAGAAGAGTCAGTCAGAAAGAAAAATGAAAATGGTTTTCTAGTGGAAAGAACCAAAATAATTTATTCAAACTTCCTTCCCTTTCTTTTTAATGTAAATGATATCTGTATAGAAATACCATATTGAGTACTTTAATATACTGAATAGAAGATTATAACATGCAATACCACCGTACATGAGGAAGAGTTCTCTTTTAATCACACTTTAGAATTAACCAGAATAATTCTTTGTCTCAAGAATAACAAAAAAGTTTCTATTTAGAATGAAAATGTGCATACACTTTGATATAAATCATTCAAACATATCAAAAATCACTTTTTTGTTCAATAATTTTAAAGCATCCAAAGCAAAAGGTTCTTTTAGTAGAAATTATGCTGACTACTCTTCTGAACATTATAAGTATTCTAACAAAGCATAAAGAGTAAAACATTTACAGAATTTCGACTGGTTTTAAAAATAGTTCTATGAGCAACATTTGCATTTGCATCCATTTTATTCCCCATTTCAACAAAGACTAAAAGTTCAACAGGATAACAAAATGCTTTATGACAAGGATTACTGTGGCATTTAATGTGGAATAGAGGGAATGTATATGCCAGACAGTAATACAAAGAAGATGAATGATACACATTTAATAGGAACTTCTAAATTATTAAATTTGTAGAATTAATTCAGAAGAGAAAATGATAATGTAGTCAATTTATAGTGCACATACCACATGTTAGCTAAAATCATTTTTCACATTAGAAGAAAAATTCTGTCAGCATTAAAAATCGATTTGTACTCTATTATTGTGTTACAATAAAAGCTATTGAAGAATTTAATAAAAAAGTCACTTTTGCTGATTATATAGCCAGAGGTTTATTTGTAACCAACATGGAAATTTAACAGTAAAGTGCTGAAAAGAAAAGGGTAAAGTAAAATAGAAATCACCATGAAAAATAAAAATAAGCAATTATTTACATATATAGCAACAGTAATTAAATAAACATTCCAGTCTTTAGTATTCTTGCAAAGAATGGAAATCAGAGATTCTTCGATGGCCAAAGCATTTTTCAAGTATATTTTTACTTTATTATGTTTAATAATGATAAAGCCTTCATTATATTTAAGATAAGAAAGAAGCATATTTTGGCCCACAGGTAAATTTTCAAGTGTGATTATTTCTAAAACTGACTGCATTACTAGTCAAATTCTTCAAATCAATTCACTGATCTCTTTTACTGAAGGATGCATTGATTTGAAAATCAAAGACTTACGTCATCCAAAAAATCAATCAGTGAAGATGAGGAAGAAGAAAAGGAATCCTATTTAACGAATACAGCAATAAAAAAATAGAAAATATGGATGAAGCAATTTAATAAGAACAAATAATAAATCAAAATTTTTATAAAACAATCAAAAGGCAAATGACATTAATTCAAATAAATAAATGAGAAAAGCAGTCACTGTCATTATTCTCAAGAAACTCAGAGATTCATTAATCACTTTTTAAAGAGTGATTCTTAAAAAAAAAAAAAAAAAAAAAAAAAAAAAGATAATGACATGTACGTTCAAAAAAAAAAAAAAAAAAAAAAAAAAAAAAAAAAAAAAAAAAAAAAATAAAGAGTGATTCTTTTTCATTTTCCTAAAGGAATTTAATGTGATTCATATACTGTGCCTAAAATGAGATAGATATAATGAAGCTCATGACAAATCATTAATAACTGAATTAAATATAAGCACTTGAGAAGCTAACAACTAAACGTAAGCACCAGAATCCCTACTTCTAAGTCTTCTCCCACTAGAATGTAAGTTCTCTGAAGGAGGGACTTTTTCTATTTTGGTTGCTACTGTATCTCCAGCACTTAGAATAGTGCCTTGCACATAGATACATGATTATTATTTGTTGAATAAAGATATAACCACAAACTTAATTTTCTGAGACAAAGTATACTTTATGACATGAAATTGATTTTTTTCAGGAAAGAATTTAAATAGTGACCAATGACCAGTATTTCATTATTATAGAATCTGCCTAACATAGTCTATATAATATTTTTAACAAAAAGCATTCCTTCTTGTACACGTTCCCAAAAAATGAATTGATTTGGACTGAAGACCAGCAAAAATACCCTATTGTGAGCTCCAGCATTTACTCTTGTTTTTTTTTATTGTGGCTCTATACTTTGGAGAAGAAGAAAAGTATCAAAATTATTTCAAAAGTTGGGATTGTTCTGCTCTTATTGTTTCTTAGGGAAGATGAAATTGCTGTTAAATCTTACAGTGATTCATGTTTAGACCTTTGTTAGATACTTTGTTAAATACAAATGTATAGTCTCCATAAGAATGCAGAACATATTCCTTTCCTAATATGTTTTTGTTTATGTAATATTCTAGGTCCTCTCATGTGGGATGCAATAAAACTTTTATTTTAATAGAACTTTAAATCACAAAGTGAATTTTAAATTGACCACAAAAGATATTTGAAGGGGTTAATACTTACTTCAAATTGATCCAGAGCATCGGTAGGCGTATTCAAAAATGCCAAGAAAGAATGCTGTGAGTCTTGGTGCTCTATACCTAGAAGACAGCAGCAACTTTTTTTTAAACTACAACAATTAAAACTAATTTTCATGGATAGCCTTTCCTGTCTGAATCCATTAAAAGATGTTCACAAACTACTGTATTTAAAAGCTGATCACTATTATTAATTTTAAATATTTAAAAAACTAAAATATATTAGTGTTTCCTAGAATATCACTTAATAGTTCAATTATATCATTTTGCATGAAATACTTGCTTCTAGAGGTACTTGAGTTACTGAGTTTCTTTCTTTTCCCATATAGTACATCATTAAAAAAACATTAAATCTTTTAGTACATTTGAGAGAATTTAAAAAATAGAACATAAAAAATCTTGTTTATTTTTTCAAGCTAATTTAATACCAAACAAGGTTTCTGTTTTGAAATACTCTTATCAGCATAAAGTATGCACTGACTAATGTAAAATAATCTTTTATAAGAAAATAATGCAGTGATAAAAAATGTACTTAATTATAAAAACACTTTGTCAATCTGATTTCAGGAATTGTTTTATTGGCAAGATGAAGAATCTAAGTCCCAGCTTTCTCGGATGAATTTATAAAAATTTGTACATATCTCTGGGCTACAGTATTAACTTTAAGTGCATAATTTTCAAGATAATTCTTAAAATGTACAAATGATGATAAATACTAGGGAGGAAAAAGCAGAAAACAACCAATCAACATTTTTTACTTCTATATCCTTAGGAATTGACATCAACTGATTTTGTGTGCTTTTCCTATTATTCGCTCATAATATAACATAGTTATGAGATAAGGCAGTATGTTCAGAAATTCATTCAGTCAACAAACACTTATTGAGAGCCTACTATGTGCCAGATACTGTTCTAAACACTGGGGAGATAATAGTAAGTAAACAAAGCATTAAAAATAATCCTTGCCCACATAATATAAATACAACATCCTATTACTTAAGTAATAGCATATAGTAAAATTTTATTCTCCAATATTCAAAATCTTAATAAAAAAGCTATGTTTAACACGCCTTCATAAAGCAATTGGATAAACTTAAGTCTCTTTTTTTCAAGTTTAGGTTTATTCCAAAAATATGCAATCCAGGTCACCTGCTGTGCAAGTCATACTCTACAATTCCTATTAAATTGCCTTTAGGGCCACAAGTTGTCTTATGTACTCTTTTTCTTCTCCTCACTAAATAATGTATCTCCCATTTACTCTTTATGAATTAAAACCTAGCTTGATTTTCATTTTAGCAAGATGGCTTGTGCTCCTAATCTGAGTTCCCATTCATTTTTTCTGGTTTCCTTCCTTTTCTTGCTCATTAAGAAATTCAATCCACTAAAATTTATTGAACACCAACTTTTTTCAGGTTAACTCCTTTATGTGATTTCTCTCTGTCATTCACAATTTTACAAGCAGATGCACAGCAGGGCTGAGAAATGACAGGGAAGCATTTAAGCATAATAATGTAAAGCCCACTAACTAGTTCAGTATTCAGTGATAGCATTTGTCAGAAAAATGAATTGTGAATAACTGCATATAAGATACCCCTTTTTAGAAAAATAACATTCTAAATTTATTTTTATTAAATCTTCATACTTTTAATGTCCACATTATGGAAAGAAAGTTTAAGTTCATATAATAGAGCTATCAAGCACTCTGAGTTAGTGTTCACATGAGTGGAAAAATGCTCAAGTAAAGTTTTTAAGAAAATGGTAATAAATCCTAAGAAATCCAATAGGGTGAGAAATTTAAGTATCAAACAGGAAGAAGACACTGAAATGTCAAAATAATTCTTCCTTACCAAATTGCTCTATTAACAGTGAGTTAGATTAATCTTTAGTTATTTCATACAGTTTCCTCAACTACCCTGGGAGTGAATCCCCTCCAAGATTTTGTATGTTCTATGCACATAAAAAGTGCTAAACCAAACAAACAAACAAAAAAAAACCTGCTCAAGTACCCTTACCAAATTCTGAATGTTAGCATATTAACATGTTAACATATGTTGCCAATGTCAGAGGGATTGCCTCATACTATAACATTTGAGAATATTATAAAATATATTATAAAATAAGAAAAATTTTTCCAGGTACAAAAATGTCATTCATGGACTACCACTGAAAATCTAGTCAAATTTATGACGAAGTGACTTTTCTATTACTATAAAATCATTAAACAATGTATATCAAGTAAAACAACATGACTCAAAAACCAGTCAACCAAATATGTGTGTATGTGAATGCATCATACACACACATTCATACATGAGTGCCAGAATTGGTATGTGTATAATTCTCCCACCTACACAATAAGGTGATTCTCAAGTAATAAGATGTGTTCACAACAGAACAATAAGTCCTGGTTGATGCAAACACACATTCCCATACCCTTTTCAGATCTAAGCTCTTCAGTGTCCTTTATCAGTTGTTCGATTTCTGATAGTAGTTCCAAGTTCTTCTTCTCTGAATCTTTTAGTTTACTTAAGTAAGAAGAAAAAAGAAAAAAATGTCATTAATTTTTACTGCTGGCTAGTGAGCCATCTTGTATGTAGCTGGACTTCATTTGGTTAAAACATCAGTCATACTAAATTAGGGGACTACAAACAACTGCAGGAAGGACAGATACGGCCTGCTGCCTACTTGTATGTAAACATAGTTTTACTAGAACACAGCCAGGCTCATTCAGTTATGAGTACTGACTATAGCTGCTTCTGTACTATAATAACAAAGTTGAGTAGTGGTGATGGAGGCTGTAATGGCCCTCAAAGCCTAAAATATTTACTATCTGGCCCTTTATAGCAAAAGTGTGCTGACCCTGAGCTAAATTATTACATTAAAAAATGCTATAAAGTTAGAGGTTAGTTTTAGATTTCTATTAGACTTCGTTCCTAGGCAACCATGAAAGTGGAGCATATACATGAGTAAGTTTATAATTTTTCAACTTGACTCCTATCCCTGATTTATATACAAATGTGTAAACTCATATGTCCTGGGCGTAAGGAGAAAAGATCATACTTATTCCAAATTACAACACAGAGAATGATATTCAGTAGCTCTTCATGCTGAGATGAATTTGTATGCTCCAGAAAAAGTTCTGTCCCTTTTCAATGCTACACAAGCACATTTAAGTAAAGTGTATTTAATCTGTCTTCATTATTTATAACAAAAGTTTATAAACAAAAAATTTACATGTAACTTCTATCCAAGTAATTTTTGACAAAATGTAGAGATTACCCTATTATTCTAATAGGACATTTATTATTCAATCTTACCATTCTGTTATGATGTTAGATGCTTTAACTTTATTAAGCTCTTCTTGGATGGCCTGTTTGGCTCTTATTTCTGCATCTAAAGCTGACTGCAACTCCAGTCTAGCTGACATATCCAGTTTTGCAAAGCGACGCATTTTCCAGGGCATATCCTATGAAATAATATGACTGTGTTTTTAGCTCCATCCTATTTTAACATTTAAAGTTAGTAACCCAAATGAATTTGGAAGCTACGTATAAGCACTATCTTTTTCTAATTATAGAATAAAATAAAAACATTACTTGTGAAAATGTATTATTTTTCATTAAACTCAGAAATAATTATAAATACAGACAAATGAGGTTTTTATTAGTTATTTCCAATAATGGCTATCCACATAAATTAAATTAGTTAAGCAGCTCTGTGTTATGTTTTCCTAAACTGAAAAAGACCTACCTGATTTCTCATGAAAAACTATATAGTGGGCTACAACCTAGACAAACTGATATAAGTAATCGTATTTATTATAATGTTTTTGGAGCCTTCTTTTTTTCTAATATGACAAGCCTCCATGCAAAATGATAGAGCTTACTGTTGCTCGTGTACCCAAGCTGGAATTTCTTAATGCTTCCAATTCTTCAGTCATTTTAGAAGCTAAGGCCTGAAGATACCCTCGTGCATCCTTTTCATCACTGACCCTAGAATGTACACAAAAGTAAAACAGAAAAACTTCAGTGTGATATGTATTATTTTAAAGCTTCATACAGAAATAAGTGATATAAATTTAAAGACAGTCTTAAATAATTTATTCCAAAGGGTCTACCATAGTCCTATTACCTATCAACAGCTGGGAAGTTTACTGAACTGTTCAATTATATATAAATTAGAGCTGGTGATGTGTAGGAAAGTCTTAGTTACTCATAAAACTTCACCCTTAAGCCACAGAATTAACTCTTTAAATCTAACATTTAATACATATGTGGCTGGCTGGGCACGGTGGCCCACTCAAGGTTAGGCGTTCGAGACCAGCCTGAACAAGAGTAAGACCCTGTCTCTACTAAAAATAGAAAGAAATTATCTGGACAACTAAATACACACACACACACACACACACAAATTAGCTGGGCATGGTGGGGCATGCCTATAGTCCCAGCTACTTGGGAGGCTGAGGCAGGAGGATCACTTGAGCCCAGGAGTTTGAGGTTGCTGTGAGCCAGGCTGATGCCAAGGCACTCTAGCCTGGGCAACGGAGCAAGACTCTGCCTCAAAAAGACAAATAAACAAAAAACACACATGCGTACATGTGTGAGGCTCTCTAAAGAATACTATGATTTCTCATTAATTGGATTTTGCCATTTCATCTTATAAAACACAACACACCCTTTTTAAAACTGAAATATATCAAATTTAGAATGTTTAAGTTTGAAGTAGGATATTCTGCAAATATTAGGGATGTATTGTAATTAAGCTCTTCTGTTTTTGAAAATGATCAATAAAATAATAAGAGAAAAGTTTAGAGTCTACTGAAACCCAATTTCTACTTACTATCTTAAGGCTATGGAACTGATAAAATTATTATGATTTTAGATAGAAAAGTTTTTCAATTATATTCAATAAGATAAATTCTACATTTTGGAATTTCTCAAGAAAAAGTTTGCATTTGTTATATCGCCTCCAAAATAACAGGGAATGGTGGTAGTGGTGGGGGGCCCAGCACATAAAAATCTATAAAAGTCCTATCTCTGGAAGAATAAAAACCATTGGTATACAGAAAGCCATGTTGTGCAGAGAAAAAAAAAATGGAGTTAAAATTTGTGATGCTCTGAAGTGTAGACATTTTGTTTTTGTATACGATGGTTGTTTTCACAGACAGAATTCAGGTCACTGAAGCTATGAGGAAAGTATATCTCAGGTAAATCAGTATGTATCCATGATGAATATAGCAGACATGTTTAAATCTTAACCCTTGATTTAGCATCTTACAGAATTTAAACTTCTTGAATAATCAAATTCATATCTATTTATCTATCTCTCTTAAAGAGGCCCTTTAAAAGGGGTTTGGAACTGTATGTTCTCATGAAGGAGGTTTTTGTAGAACATAAGCAAAAGAATCTAAAAAGAGATGCAATAAAACCATTGTAAAAAGTTACCCACTCTAGTGACATTTACATATTTTAGGCTCTACGTACATGTACATATTTTTATTACCTTTTAAAGAAAAATGGCTTTAGAAATTATTTTAAGAAAATTTGTGCAGTGAGAGGCTTTTTCCTTCTAAAATTCTTTGAACTTTGCAATCTTTTCATGTAATCATCTGATCTACAGTGTAAAGAATACATGGGGATGGGGAAGATTACCTTCTTTAGGGTACAAAGATACTGTATTACCATGTAATGAAGAAAACTGTATTATCATTTGAGTGGCCAGGCTAATCGACCTCAACTAGTGCTGGTTTAAGCTTCGGAAATGTAGACTTGATGATGCTGATGTAAAATAAACATTAATGAACCAATAACTGTACTGTACAGAACAGAACAAGATCTCTACAGTCTGGGCCTTTCCCTCTATATGCACCGAATAGGCACAGTCATAAGCACAAGAGCTCTATAGTTAAGCCAATATCAAAATACTTGAGTCATATGAGTAAAATTATTTAAAAATACAATGTTTACTCATTTTTAATTTTATTTAAGAAGGAGGCTATTAATCTGGTATAAGTAAGAAAAACGGAAAATTACTTGAACCAAAATATGAGCAAAGGAAACTAAAATTCCCAGCAAATTTATATATACAGATATAGATATAGATATGAAGAAACTACAAGTTGAGTATCCTTTATTCAAAATGCTTGGGTTCCAGAAGTGTTTCAGATTACACATTTTGTTGGATTTTGGAATATTTCCATATACATAATGAGATATCTTGGGGATAGGATCCAAGAACAAACAGGAAATTCATTTACGTTTCATATGTACCTTATACACATAGCTTGAAAATAATTTTATACAATACTTTTACTAATTTTGTGCACGAAATAAAGTTTTGACTGCAAACTGTCACATGAGGTCAGGTGTGGCATTTTCCACTTGTGGTATCATGTCAGCACTTAAAAAGTTTCAGATTTTGAAACATTTCAGAGTTTTGTATTAGGGATGCTCAATCTTTAGACGTTCTAATATAAATTAAACACCTCTCATGTGCCAAAAAGGATAAAAAGTTGAGCTACCTATTTTCATTTAGAAATAAAAAAGTCTACTTCCTCTGTGTATTATAAAGATGCTCAAATTTTTACATGCATCAGCATCATTTAATGAATGAATTAATATGAAGGCTACTAACATGAATACTACAAATTAAATCCCAAGAGCTTGAGGAACAGCTGATAAAACTAAATTGTAACCATTTAAGGTTCTTAAAATGCCATGTGTGAACTAATCTGTTATAATCATGAGAGAGGGTGACAGTACAGTATCTTCACCTTCTAAATTTTTTGCAGGCATTTTGTTTCTTAAAATAATCACAAGTATAGCAGTTTTGATCTTAGCTAGTGGAAGAGTTCCGTTAGTTCTTTAAAGACCAAACTCTGACTTAAAACAGAGTAACATTTTCTTTCCTTAGAAAGTATTATCAGATTTCAGTGAAGCTGTATAAAAACTGGTATGGGACATTTGTTGGAGTTAGGAAACACTGGATCACAACAGAAAACACAGAATACACATAACATATCAGTAATATGAAAAAAATAACATGTTAATGGCCTCTTGGAATTCACACCAACTTGGGCATATGTCTATAATCATTCACAAAAACATTTAAAAAAGCACTCACCACTGAATTATTTCTGTGATTTGGGCTTCCCAATGTGCAACGGATTCTTTCTTGTCTGCTAGATCTTTTACCTCTTCTTCTAACTGCTGGTTTTGTAAACTTAAGTTCTCATACAAAGTGGTAAGCTGAAAGGCAATTTTAAGATGTGACTTTTAGGACCAGGAATTCAAGACGCTCGGATAACCAGATAGCTTACCATATTCTACTCAAAAACACTTGTCTTTTTATTATCACATACACTTCTGGTCAATGAATTTGGAAATATCAAGTACTCTGAATTTTCCTGCTACCTTTTCTGTGAACATTCTCTATGCCTAAGGAATGGCCTAGTCTGCTGATAACATCATCTCATTTGTTGTCTAAAAATGTCTTTATGTCATTTCCTTTTTTTAAAAAAACTTGCAATTTCAAATATATATAAAATGGATAATATAAGTGAATTCCCATGAGCTCACCACTCAACTTCAGCAATGATCACCTGCATGCCAATCTTGTTTCATTTGTTCTTTCTCTTGCTCTCTTATCCCTTCCTGTATTATCACATAGGTAGTAACTGTTCAAATTTCCAGTTATTTCAACAAATCAAAAAACTTAATTTGTTAAAATGAGTAATGATTCCAATCAGTAAACACAACGTAATGGTTTGATATGTTTTTTAAGTCTATTATATAGGTGCTCCTCCAACATTTTTATTTTTCTTGTAATTTATTTGTTGAAAAAAGTAGGTTGTCCTGCAGTTTCTACATTCTGAATTTTTGCCTTCATTTTTGAAAGATACTTTTGCTGTATACATAGCATTCTAAATTGGCAGTTATTTTACTTTCCACTTTGAGATGCCATTCCTTTTTCTTCTGAATTTCATTTCTTTTTTTTTTTTTCTTTCTGATGGGAATTCAGCTTTCAGTCTAACTTTTACTCCTTTGAATATAATGTCTTTCTTCTCTGGCTGCTTTTAGGATTCTATGTTGGTTGTTGGTTTGGGGGGCATTTTTCCAGGATTTGTCTAAGTGGGGTATGATTTCTATTTATCACCTTTAGAATTTGTGCTATTTTTTGAATTTGTGGTTAAATGTTTCTCATAGGTTTGGGAAAATTATGGGCTATTAACTCTTCAAATATTACTTCTGCCACAGTCTCTCTTTTCTCTCCTTCTGGGAAACCAAATATTTGTATGTTATAGCTTTTTACCATGTCCCCTATTTCTCAAATTCTATTTTCTGCATTTGATATTCTTTTAAATTCCTGACCATACTTCAGTCTGGAATTTTTTCTTTTCACATATCCAGTCCCTCCTTTGGCTTTCTCCAATCTGTTGTTTCTATTGAGTATTTTGGTTATTTTATTTTTCATTTCTAGAAATTCTATTTGAGTCTCGTGTAGATTCCAGTTATGTGCTGAAATTTCTTCATCATATCTTTTACTTTCTTGAACATACCACAGTATGTTTAAGTATGTCAAATTCCACAGTAATTTTAAAGTTCATTTATAAAAATTCCATACTGGGAACTCCTATGGGTCTGTTTCTACTGACTGCCTGGTTTTCTTTCCATTTTTCCTTTTTTAATTTTGTTTTTGCTGTTATATTTTTCCTTTGTTTTTAGTGATTTGGTTGTGTTTGCTGGCATGTCTGGTAATTTTTTAATGCATGCTACATGTTGAATATAAATGCCTTAGGGATAATTTGAGGCTCTGGACAATATCTTCTTCCAGGGAGCATTTACTTTTACTAGCCAATTAGAATAAAGAGATCAGGGATTAGACTACACAGGGGCTGGGTTTCAAACTCTGAGAAGGCTAATCTGTTTTTGATTCACCCTTACTTCTAAAATGTAGCCTTTCAATGGGTCCAACTGAAAACCTGAATTGTTACTAGAATTCTCCAATTTGACAGGCACTGAACTTCAATTTTTATCTCTCTAGCTTTGTGATACTGTAGAATACTGTGCTCAACTTCCAGATTCTCAGCAACTGCTTTCATATCAGCAAATGCCATAGAGAAAAAGTGGCACTGAATGTTGTGCTCATCTCTCTGCATTATTCTTCCTTATATAAATTTAGTTAGTACAGTCATGGCTGCCGGGCTATCACTCCAATGCTTTCCAACAGATGAATACTGTAGAAACTATTCTGATAGTATTAAAAACATTTTTTTAAATCCTGCTTTACAGCTCTTCTTGGTGAGGTGGTGGATATGATGAAAACTAATCTCTCATAGAAGCAAGTTCTTGCTTTAAGCTTTCTTAAATCCATGAAAAAATATTTGTACACTATTTTACCTATTTCATATCTACATTTTTTTGTTTGTTTTTATAAACTGTGTTCATCTACCATTAGTTATTACTGTTCCTTTCTGGTATGTTTGTAGAGATACTGTGCTAGTTTCTTTTTGATTATTCAACTTTGAAGGAGGTGAATTTTTCCGAGAAGAGCTACTTACAGAGGTTTTTAGGGATGAGGGGACTATGATAGTAATTTTATATGTCAACTTGACTGGGCCACAGGGTGCTGAGACATTTGGTCAAACATTATTCTGGGTCTGTCTTTCAGTGTGTCTCTGCATGAGATTAACATTTGCATTGGTAGACTGAATAAAGTAGATTGCCCTTCATTAGGAAGGATAATCAACTGAAGGCCAGAACAGAACAACAAAAAGGATGACTGTACCAGGAGTAAAAGGGAACTCCTCCGGTCTAGCTGCCTTCAGGCTGTGACATAGTTTTTTCCTGCCTTAGGACTTGAACTGAAAGAGCAGCCCTTCTGGGTCTTGAGCTTGCTAGCTTTCAGACTGGAACTACATCATAGACTTTTGGTTTTTAGGCACTTTAGACATACACAGGAAATACACTATCAGCTCTCCTGGGTCTCCAGCTTGCCAACTGTTGATTTTGAGGACTTGTCAGCCTCCATAATCACTTGAGTCGATTCCTTATAATCAATCTCTCAATCAAGCAATCAATCAATCTCTCTCTCTCTCTATTGTTTCTGTTTCTCTGGAAAGCCCTGACTAATGGAGCAGAGACTGAAACCATGTGCTAAATCAACTTTTCCAGTAAAGAACCAGATAGTAAGTATTTTCACCTTTGTGAACCACATATGGTATCTATCATACATTCTTCTTTATTAAAATTGTCATTTAAAAATATAAAGATCATTCTTAGTTTGTGGGTCATACAAAAACAGATTTGGAAATATTTTCTATCTATTTGTACATGTCTTTTCACTTTCTTAATATTGTTTTCAAATTTTGATGAAGTCAATTTATCATTATCTTTCTCTCATAGGTTGTGCTTTTAATGTCATATTTAAGAAAATTTAAACCTCAAATCAGAAATTATCACCTAATTATCACCTATTTTTTTTCTATTTATTTTTGGAGTTTAAAAATGTGAGAATCTATTATATAATATATAATTTTCAAAATTAACCTAATAACAGCTTTTTGACTGCCATAATATGCAATTCTGTCGAGAAGGAATTGAGTTCTATTTGAGCTGGTTCCAATAGAACAGTTGGTACAACAATGGCAAATGCATTCAGTGGTTACTCTTCTTGGGGAAAACACCCAATTCAAACCAAACTGGAAAATGAATAAATGGAAAGACACAGTGAAAATATGCAGTGGGGTAGACTGACAGTTAAGCAGAGAAAGAAGCAAAAATTGAATGAAAGTATGAGAAATATACCAGAGGTTCAAATGGAAACAGAGGTCCTAGATCCTCCTACCCAGGAATAAATATTTCCCTGTAATTGTTGGTCATTGAATACTTGTCTAACAGATCAATTTTCTCTGAAAGTGCTACTCATATTCTATATATCTTGCAATTTAGCAAGAAAAGGTATTGTTCTACTTTTTACAAACCACCCTTCAGGCTTCATCAAAGAGGCTTCACTGTGTGTACTAGGCCTAAAAGTCCCTTCTGTTAGGCTTGTTCAGGATGGGAACCCAGAGAGTATGTATAGGACAGAATGCGATTAATGGAAAATTTAGATAGTGATCATAAAGCCTGTGAAACAACAGCCATGGGAGTCTGGAAAGTCCCAAGGTTGTAAATCTAACTCTGACCACAGACAGTTATAGACTCAGTTACTGTTCAGAAAAAAATTCACCCTCCCCAAACTTCCATCCAAACCTCCTATAAAATCCACCAATCTCTCCCCTTCCTGGCATGGATGCTCTTTTCAGCCTCTAGCCATCTGCACCCGATGCTCAAATAAACAGTGTTTTGCCACACCAGAGACTTCTTATGTCTCCCTCTCGGCTCTGGACCTAAGGCCTTCCCCTCATGGATATATTAGATCACAACACAATTTTAATCAAATGAGTACTTTTTTTTTTAAAGTTTTCTCTAAATATATATATTTGGATAAACTCAGCAGAAATTTATGGCTGACATTAAATCAAAGGCTGAATATAAAATTTGATAGACATTCAATCTGATTATTTTCCAATACAATTTTTCTTAACATGTAATAGCATCTTTTACTAGGTAATCTGCTTATTAACTCTACATGAAGTGGCTTTCTAAAGTTTCATTATATATTTTTTAACTCACAGTAACTCTTACTAGAATCTTTAAAGGATGTTAAATTTTACAGTCATATTAGCAAAACACAGGAAATAGTAATTATATGACCTATTAGGGTTAAGTTCAAATATTATCAGTCCTATTTCAGTTAAACTAAGAGTTACATGATAAAGTTCATACACTATTCAGGGTTTTAAAAATCCATTTATCCTACTATTTAGACACTTTCCACAATGTTTGTATATGTTAAGCTTTGTAAGATTTTACGCAATGAACTAACATTATTCTTTATGAAGTCGTTTTCAACCAAAGTCATTTTTAAAATGCTTTAAATTCTTATGTAGCATCTTTTAACAATGCTGAATAATCATGGAGAAAATAGAAACATAGAGAGCTATATGGAAAACAATGGAAAATTGAAAAAGAATTAAAAATCTCTATTTTATAACAATTTAGTCATTGTCTTTCAGTCTGTTACTAATAATAACATAATTGAACATAATATTTTTACTGGAGGAAAATTCTAAAATTCTAAAAGTCATTATAAAATGCAGTTACTTAGCCCTTCTTTTTAAAATGTAAATAGAATTATTAAAATTTCTGGTTAATATCAGGATTTTTAAAATTGTTAAGAATTGGCACAAGAAATGCAGAACAGTGGCAATTTGAGAAAACTGAGATACTAAGTCGAAAAAAATTCCTTTAAGTATTTGATATTTTATTCATATTTATTCATTTTATTCATAAATATTGCTACTTCTAAGTTCAATACATGGTTCTACACTTTATTCAAGTTAGAATTTAGGCAGAGTTAGTTTCTTTGGATTATCATCTACCCCTGGTATCATTTCTGGCTATTTTTACTTCTGCTTTGGAAATATGAAATCATACTTGTTGTAATTTCTCCAACTTTGGCCTAATTGTCCCTTGCGCTCCCCACGGGCAGCCTTAACTTGACTTGAACTTATCTAGCTTGAACTTAGCCAGCCATGACAGGGTGATGAATAAGTGAGGAAAAAATAAAACAGAATAGTTGGAAAGTGAAATAAAGAATAGAGGCTCAAAAAATAAATGAGACAAAGAATAAGATGAGATACACAAAACTCTCTCTACAGAAGACTCACATCACAGACTGGTATAGCCAAAACTTGCCTATATTATTTAAGCAATCATAGCTTATAAGGAAGACTATTGTATACCAAATATGTACACCAAATATACAAGAAAATGTACACCAAATATACATTTAAAACCACAATTCCTATCATAATGTTGAACATATAGCATATGCTCAATTCATATAAATGATATTGAATCACTCACCTTATCAAGTTCACTTGTCAGCTTTTTATTTTCTTCAGTTAGTAACACTTTTTCTCGTTCATACTGCTGTTTGAACTCATTTTCAAATTCTTCCCTTTCACTTTGACTAACATAATTCAAACATAAAAGGAAAAAAAAAGAATTAAAGGTCAACTGGAAACTTGAAAGGAATTATTTTTGGAATAGTTATGTAATATATAAATACCAGACTGATTTCTAGAAACATTATTCACATAGAATACAACATGATTACAGTAATGACAAGCCTGATGAAAACACTTTCCAAGAATTTACAATACAATAATAATGATTTGTTCACTCATTCATTTAAAAAATATTTATGGGTGCCTACTAGGTGCCAAGGGGCTGTTGCAGGCCCTAAAGATAGGTCCCGCGCTCATGCAGCTTACATTCCAGTGGAGGAGGACTGGCAATGAAAAGTGAGTAAATGAACTAATTTCAGATAATCAGTTCTATAAAAAGAATGAAATACAGTAATATTCTCAACAGTATCTGTGAGGGGGTGGCTAATTTGAATTGTATCGTATGAGAGGGTCTCAGGGTTAATGAATAAACTACCAAAATGAAAATAATAATTGCCATCTGCTTCATATTCATTATGTTTTATCAAAGACAAATTAGTCTGAGACCAAACTGACACTTTTCTTTGTGTATTTGCACCACAATATTCTTAGAATACACAAATTCATAGGCCCTTATTTAAGATATGGTCAGAGTCACTTCCTAGTGATACTAATTTGATTAAGTATAGTATTTCGAACATTTTGTTCATAATTAGAAATTAATTTATATCTAAATTTAGACATTTTAAAAAATTTGCTTTGAAATAATTTCATTCATATAGAAAAATTAAAACAAATCGTACAAAGAACTATTATACACTCTTCACCCAGATTCCCCAAATGTTAACATTTTACTACATTTGCTCCATTACTGTGTGCATGTACTAACTCCATTAGTCTTCTGAGCCACTGAGAGGCAGCTGCAGATACTGTGCCTTATTACACCCCTAAATACTCCAGTGTGTATCTCTCAAAGTCAAGGACACTCTCTGCCATAACCATTAAGCAGCACCCTTCCAAATTAGAAAAATCAACATTGCTAGAATACTACCATCCAAATTCACAAACCAAATTCAAGTTTTGCCAACTATCTTGACAGTGTCTCCTTTTCTTATCTTGTCCAGGATCCAACTAGGAACTACTGCATTTAGTAGTTATGTTTCTTCAATTTCCTTTGGTCAAGAATAGTTCCTCAGTCTTCCCTCTCTCTCACAACAGTTTAAAAGAGTACAGACCTTTCACTGTGGTAGGTATGGTATTCTCACCTGGAACCTCTTCCTTCAGCTCAAAACAGACAGCTTTGTGGCTCACTTGTTCTCCTCTGTCAGGAACTCTGCTGCTCAGTGTACAGAGGTGGCTCATGGAGGTAGGTAACCACTATGGTGGTGTAGTAATTTGGGTCAGTTGGAGCTCAGATCCCTAGGATAGTATTCAGGTGCCAGTGGTGTGGACTAGGTTAGGTAATACCCAGTTCCAAGTCCCTGGATGACATGATTGAATCCTGGGGGGACCAGAGACTGGGCTGGCAAACTTGCTCTCAGCCTCCCTCAGTTCAGGTGCTGGCTGTGATAGTAAGAGGTGGGGTGATCTCTTGCTCTGGCAGAATGCATAGGCAGGAGAAGAGTATATTCAGCTGCCCCAAATCTAGAAATCTGACTATCACTGGTAATTTCTCCTGCTCCCTCATTTTTCACAGCTGGTCATTATGTCCTCCAGGTTCTGTCCTTCTGAATCCAGCCACTTCTCTCCATCTTCACCATCACTACCTGAGATCCACCACCTCATCTCTCACAGCTGGATTCCTCCCTCCAGTGTGCTCCTTCCAGTCCATTCTCCACATAGGAGTAAGAGTGATCATTCAAAAATAAATTGTGTTATTTTCCTTCAATGGCCTTAAAACAAAGTTCAAATGCCTTATACTCTTTCAAGATCTTACCCTATTTTTCTTTCCAGCCTCATTTCTCACCACTCCACTTTTTATCTATGCTTCCACCACAGTAAACAGCTTTTATTTTCTGGATGTGCTACACCCCCCTTTCCCTTTCCCTTTAGACCGTAGCACATTCTTCTACTTCTGCCTGAACACTCTTCCCCAGCTACTTCTTTCTTGATTTCTTAAAAATCTTGACTTAAAAGTAATTTTGTCCAGAAAGTCTATATGTACCAAAGTTACCTTTTGTGCCTCTCCTACCTGTCCCCAAAAACTTATCCCATTTGCTTTTCTATCATGCTACATTGTAATTTTCTATTTACCAATCTTGATTTTGGTCTCCTTGAGGACTAGGATATGTATATTGTCTATGTATCTCCAGTACTTGATATAACAGGTACTCAATATTTATTGCATAAGTAAAAACTAATTTGATTCTTACCTTTCTCTCCTGGTTTTTTCCAATTTGTCTTTTAAAACCATAATTTCTTTGTTGAGAGCGAGTTGTTGGCCTTCTGAATCATGCAGTTCTTTCTTCAGATTTTTAATTTCATTTGCATGTATTCCTTCTCTTTTAGATAATTCTTCTTCATAAAAGATACTTTTCTTTTCCAAATCAGTCTTTAGTTTGGTTATCTCTTGTTGATGTTCTATGCTACATACTCCTGGTGAGTAACTAATTTGTTTTTGCTGTAGAAGTAATAACAAAAGATTAGTTCATCTACAAGAATAACAAAATTTCAAATAAGGATTTCTTTCTAAAATATATAGGACTGTTCATATAAATGTCTATCATTTTTTATATTATCACACAAAAATAAAACTTTGTATTAAGGCTATTAATTTTTTTTTTAGATAGTCTTGCTCTGTAGCCCTGGCTAGAGTGCAGTGGTGTCATTGTAGCTCACTGCAATCTCGAATTCCTGGGCTCAAGCAATTCTCTTGCCACAGCCTCCCAAATAGCTGGGACTACAGGCACACACCACCCAGCTAATTTTTCTATTTTTAGTAGAAACAGGTCTCACTCTTGCTTAGGCTGGTCTCAAACTTCTGACCTCAAGCTATCCTCCTGTCTCAGCCTCCTGAGTGTTAGGATTACAGTCATGAGTCATCACGCCCAGCTCACTATTAACTTTTTTGTCTGCCATATGTGTTATAAATATTTTCTCAGTTTATATTACTATATAGCTTTTGTTGTTATTTTTATAGTCTTCTTCACAAAAAGATTATATCTCAACTTATGTGAATTTTTTGCTGGTACTTTCATGATTTTTATTTACATTTAAATTTCTATTAAATTTCTATTTAGAATTATTGTTGGTATATGGAGTAAAGGAAAAATCTAACAGCTACCTATATCTGATGAGGAACAGATAAGTTTCAAGCACATTTGTGTCTTTAAAAAATTAAAATGGGGGAAGGGATGATAGAGTTATAAAGCATGAAAAGAGAGAGGGCTTTTGCACAGTCCCATGAGAAATGGCAAAGATCTAAACTAACATTTCCTTCATAACCCTGCTAAAAAAAAAATGGTAGGTCTCTTCACTTTTAGGTAGGACTTTAAGGAGGAGAAGAAATTTGGTTGAAATCCACCTTTTGAGAAATTAGGCTAAAATATCCTCTCAGAAATAAGAAAGAAAAAAAATGTAAAGTCCAAAGGGTTTTCCAGGTACTGTCTAAGGGGTAAACAAAAACATACCCAGTTGGATTATGACTATAAGATTTCTTGAGCTTTGTTAACTTTCCAATGGTCATTAATTTGTTATAGTCTGTCTGTCTACCTGTTTCCCCAAGTGGTCAGTAATAAAACTTTTCAACTAAAAGAACCTACGTGCTTATGTTTAGTGATAATAAGGAATCAAAGTCCTGAGGTCACTGTGTTCTTTTATGAAGCCAATCTTAAGGGCAGAAAAATCAGTAAGAGTAGTTTCATTTAAAGTTGAAAGAGAAATGTGCTGTCTCTTTTACATTTGAAGTATATAATTTTATTTATTTATTCATTTATTCATTCATTCATTCATTCATTCATTTATTTATTTTTGAGACAGAGTCTCACTTTGTTGTCCAGGCTAGAGTGAGTGCTATGGCATCCACCTAGCCCACAGCAACCTCAAACTCCTGGGCTCAAGCAGTCCTCCTGCCTCAGCCTCCTGAGTAGCTGGGACTACAGGCATGTGCCACCATGCCCGGCTAATTTTTTCTATATATATTAGTTGGCCAATTAATTTCTTTCTATTTATAGTAGAGACGGGGTCTCGCTCTTGCTCAGGTTGGTCTCGAACTCCTGCGCTCAAACGATCCACCTGCCTCCGCCTCCCAGAGAGCTAGGATAACAGGTGTGAGCCACCGCACCCAGCCTGAAGTATATAATTTTAAAAGAAGAAAAGAATCAATGTTGGCCAAAGAAATGTCCTTGGGTGTCCATTGCAATATCAAACCGTTTATTTAAAAAAAAACTTTTCATGTGCCAGATCCACGTTGTCCAGTGGTTTATGAGGTGTCCTGACATGCCCAACTTGGGAAGAGCCAGAGCAAGTCAGGTGCCTGTGCTTAAACATCTCTATGAAAATGATGCCTAAATTGTCATTTGCAGCACTGACCGCTGATCTCTACTTTCTCTTTCATTTTTCTAATCACCTAAAAAACACTTTTAGCTCAATGTTCTGCTTAGTTTAGTTTCACTGCTGGGATGGCAGCAGCATGTACAAAAAGTATCATGAAAAAATAACATGAAATCAAAACCTAACAAAGATACCACCAATTAAAGTTACAGATGCATAGCACTCACTGAACAGAATATGAAAAGCCAAACAAAACACTTACACAAACAAATTTAAACCTTAAGTAAAAAAGAATAACCTACAACAAAACAATAGGTTTTATTGAAGGTATTGAAGGTAATTTAATGTTAGCAAACGTATTAATAAATGTGTAATAAAATATATTTGAATAGATCAAATTTAAAAATCCAAGTGATAATTTCAGTAGGTACCCTGTCCAAAAGTATTTTATAAAATCCAATAATAATTCCAAATATTACTCCAAATCCCCAAATAAAACCATAAAAAGATTATACTAATTCTTTTAATTTAAAAAGTATCCATATTTCAAGCTATCAAACAAAATACTTAATGGTGAAACATCAGAAGTACACCCAGTAAACTGAGACATAATAAAAACAAAAAGGATATCTTCCATTATCACTCTTAAGTAATATTAATTTCAAGTAATCTATCTGACGAACGTGAAATAGTTAAAAGAAATTAATAATGTAAAGAAAAGTGATAAATTATCACTCCCATTTAATTTTTCACTCAGAAAATGCACATAAATCTACTGAAAAGTGTTAGAACTGATAGAGTTGAGTGAAAAAGCATAGAAGATAAAAACAAATCAGTAATACTTCTAGATATTAAAATAAGCAATCAGAAAACATAATAAAAATTGTCTTTGTTAATAGCAAAAGGAATAAAAAATACCACATGCCAATACACACATATATATGAGGAATAATATTGAGAAATTTCTCTGATTTATAGGAAAAAAACAAGTCCATAAAAAACAAGTATTTAAAAGGGAATATTAAATATACATGTATTCAACATTTTTCAAATTATCTTCCATGTAATTTTAATAAAAAGTTTTTTTAAATATGGAGAGGAGTGTTCAAATATAGGAGGGAATGGAGACCAATGTTTGTAGTGTGTGAACAAGAATACACTGGTAAAAATACCAAAGAATATACCAAAGGGGGTTATGGACAAATATACTTTTCAGATATTAAACCATACCATTAAATCATTAATAAAGCACCACTGTAATAGATCTCCTCCCTAACGTAATTTAATTCAATATATGAGATATTTTTAAGGGACTGATTAATAAATGGAATTAGAATCACAAGCTAGCAACATAAGAATGAAACGATTCTCATGTCATATCATTTAGCAAAACAAATTCCAAATAGATTAAAGAGCTAAATGTCTTTAAACCCCACAGAAACATCTGGGAGAAAGCAGAATTAAATACATATCAAAACTCTGGAAAGAGAAGAACAAACCAAGCTTTGAAGCAATAGAAGAAACACTGAGGAAAAGAAACATACATATTTTGCAATTTTAAAAAGGAACAAGAACAAAATTAAAGGGCAAATGATAAACTGGTGAAATAGTTGCTGAAAATATTTTAAAAGGTAAAATTTTACTGTGCAAAGAGTTTACATGACTTGATAAGACTATAAAATTAAATGGGCATATGATTTAAAGATATAATTTACAAAGGAAAAATATGATTAATAAACAATCCACTAATAAACCAAGAAATGCAAAAATACAGTTAAAACTTTTTTGTCTCTCATACTTACAAAGATTTGTGGCATTTATCAAATGCCTTAAAAGGATCACTAATTTCACTTCTAGGTATCTGTTCTTAAAAAAATGATAAACATTTGAGGCCAGGAGTTCGAGACTTGCCTGGGCAACATAGCAAGACCCTGTCTCTACAAAAATAAAAAAATTCGCCAGGTGTGGTAGTGTGAGCCTGTAGTCCCAGCTATTTGGAAGGCTGAGGCAGGAGGACCACTTGGGCCTAGGAGGTGAAGGCTGCAAGGAGCTCTGATCCAGCCACTGTACTCCAGCCTGGGTTTCAGAGAGAGATCACATGTTTAAAAATAAAAAAGCAAGAAAGACAATGATATAGAAAAAGCAGTGCATAAAGGTGCTCATGGCAATTACAACACAAGAAACATTTAATAGAGAATTGGCTATATGGGATATTCTTCTTGAACTATTTATAACCATTAGAATTATGTTTGTGACAATTTTGTAATAATAAGTAAAAAATGCTTATTACATTATTAAATGAAAAATACAAGTGTCATGAGTTAAATTGTGCCTCCCATTCATATGTTAACGTACACAGTACTTTGAAATGTGATGTTATTTAAATACAGAGTCTTTCAGAGGTAATCAAGTTAAAATGAGGTCATTAGCATGCATCTAATCCAGTATGAGAAATCTGGACACAGACATGCACACAGAGAGAACACCATGTGAACATGAAAGCAGAGATGCAGGTGATGCATCTACAGGCCAAGGAATGCCAAAGACTGCCAGCAAACCAGCAGAAGACAATCCTGCCAATACCTTGATTTTGAACTTCCAGCCTCCAGAACTGAGACAATAAATTTCTATTTTTAAGCTACCCGGTTTCTGGTACTTTGTAACAGCAGCCCTAACAATCTAACACAATAGAGTAAAAAAAACTCTAGTGGCATATAACCTTGAAAAGTATCCTTTTTTAAAACAAATTTTTATTGAGATATAATTCACATACCACACAATTCACTTATTTAAATTGTAAAATTCAATTATTTGGGTTATTGGCATATTATAGTATTAATTCTTTTAAGTAGTAAGATATATATAACAAAACTTTCCATTTTAACCATTTTAAGTGTACAATTAAATGGCATTAATTATATTTCCAATGTTGTATAAATATCACTAATATGTATTTTCAAAACTTTTTCATCATCCCAAAGAAAAATTCTATAATCATTAAGAATTTATTACCTAGTCCTCCTCTTCCAGACTCTGGTTAACCTCAATTCTACTTTCCATTTCTATTTATTTGCTTAAATATTTCATTTAAGTGGAATCATACAATATTTGTCTTTTTGTATCTGGGTT